AAATAACATTGTATGTCTCTAATGATTACCTTTGAAATACATTTTCTCGTAGAATCGAAATAGAGTTGTGTAGTGATAATAACAATGATAATGGATCATTGAATTCTAACTTAGTCGATTAATGTTATCATGACAACAAACTAGATTTGATATAGATCCTTAACTCTACTTAATTTGCATTATTTGAGGAGACTAAAACAACTATCCATTGCTAGGTGTTCTCACTTTGTTATTTCACAAACATTAGTTCATGATTAAAATTATTTCTTGTTTATTATTGTTTGCTAAAATGTTGATTAAAATAAGGAAGGAAAAAAGTTTAGTGATTGTCTAATCTGTGATGAAACGGCCGTCCAATGCTCCAAGGTTTTTCATGGTGGTTTAATTTCAATTGACTGATGATCTCAACTATTGTAATCTTATTGTCTATCAAACATTCACTCGAAACCATAACTATTGCTTATTCATTATTGTGTTAAACTAGTGTAGATGTTAATGAATGATACACGTTAGATATAAATCAAAAATATGTTGTATTATTAACTAACAAAGTATATTGTAAATAATATAATTTTAGTTATTTGGGTTGAGGAAGTTGTGTACTTAAGCTTCATGGTAAGTGAAGCATCTGCAACATGGATAGAAATGATGTTTCTGGTGAGATTTGAATCCGTCCAAACTATTGATTTACGTCATACTTCGTGGATTGTTCAAAACCCGAGAAAGATTGGCTCGTGAGGAACAGGCTGGTTTTCGTTCTGGTCGAGGATGTATTAATCACATCTTTACCCTCCTCCAAATGTTTAAACACTGTTATACTTGCACTGGTCAATAATCGTAGTGTTTCTTAACATTATGGCCGCCTTCGATTCGTTGAACAGCACTGTTCTCTGAGATTGTCTATTGAAGAAGGGTGTGCCTGAAAGTTTATTAACATCTTAAAATCCTTATATAGAAACACTTCAGACAGAGTGAGGACATACAAGCACCTCTCTCCATTGTTCCATTCAAGCAGTGTAGTTCGGTAGGGTCACACAATCTCACCGTTGCTCTTCAACTTTGCCACCGATGACGTTCTAGAAACAGCTGCGATGGATGTAGGTAATGGTGGTGTGGATGTGTTACCCGGGGAAAGGCCTTTCGACCTTGAGTATGCGGATGATATTGTCTTACAGTGCGATAATGCCCAAGCCATGCAATCCGCGCTTAATCAGTTGGCAATTACTGTCCGTAGGTATGAAATGTGTTTTGCACCTTCGAAGTGCAAAGTACTTTCACGAGACTGGGAATACTTTGATCCTGCACTCACCCTAGTTGGTGGGCAGATAGAAGTAGTCGAGAAGTTCGTGTATCTGGGTAGTAGCGTATGTGCTGCTGGTGGCGTGAATGGTGAGATCAATTCATGCATAATGGAAACCAGAGTGACTTATTCCAATTGGATCATCTTTGGAGCCTTCGCGATGTTAGTCTAGATGTAAAAGGTCGGATCTATAACGTATCGGTGAGAGCAGTTTTACTCTATGCTTGTGAAACCTGATCTCTACGAATTGAGAATGTTGGACAACTCTTTGTGTTTGACCATCGTTGTCATTGAAGGATTGCTGACATCTAGCGACAACATCATGTTAGTAATGCAGAGGTTCGGCATCGTGTGTTCGGGCACAGCGACAATAATTTAGTTGATGTCACTATCTTGAAACATCGACTTCGGTGGTTTGGATATGATCTATGAATTCCTTCTCGGAGTATTCCAAGTCGTGCATTATTTGCCGACGCTGAGACTGGTTGAGAAAAGTGGAGAGGTGTTCAGTGTATGAAATGGTGTCATGGTAAAAAAGAAAGCTGTGTAGGACTGGCTTCCGTTAGATCTTCATGACTCTCTGGTTGGGGTACTAGAGATGGTGCAACTCAGTGGCTAGAGACATTATCAGACATGGCTGAGAATAGAAGCCAGTGGCGATCTTGCTGTAACTTTCTTTTTATTATTATTTATTCACTGTCATACACTTATTTCTATTCTCCTTTTTCTTATACTCATTTTACATTCTCTATCTCTTCACAGCCTAATTATTATTGTGTCATGCATATGTAATTGGCGCTCCCTTTTACCAATATTTGTGTGTTCAAATAAATAATTCACTGTTATTCTTAATCGTTCAATCCATTGCTGACCTCTTGATTGGATGATAGTGATTCACAGTTCATTGAATTCATCAGTTTCAGCATAAATTCAAATATATCTTATTCAGCAATCTCAAGGAATTGGAAACCGTGATACAGAACTTTTTTTACGATTTCCTTCAACCACTTAACACACACACACACACACACAAAACACTAGTGTTAGTAATGTTCAGTCATTTAGGCTAGTGATTATTTCTAAAGTTAGTCAATAGTATTCTGTTACTAATTATATTGGTTACTAATCAATGTAAGTTCTATATTTGTTTATGACATAAATCAATTATCTGATGCACTTTTTTAATACATGAATGTTATCATGTTTATAAGAATCAATAATATAGTTGACATTATGACAAAATGATTGTCTATTTAAAAGATAGTCTATATGTTCTTATGAGTTAAATAGATTGAAATAGACTGATATTCATATTGAATAAGAATAACTTAACTATGAATAGAATAAATCCCTAGAAATAAACAATAAGTATATAATCAAAAGTAGTTTAATTGATCATAGAAATGTACTAATGTAGACTTTTAACACCAAATTGAATGATCATCATTGTGTCTAAATACACGATATCGAACCTTCTCATTACTAACAATGGTATTACCATTGTATGTCATCAATGCTTCAATGACAACGATAATGAAACACACTCACACACACACACAGACACACAAAACAAACAAACAAACAAAGAATTGTGTAACATTCTTAACTTAGAGAAATCAAGTTTCACAAAGATAGAGAAAAACCGTTCTCAACAACGCATTGTAAATCTGATCTAGATTAATATCGCAAAAGTTAAATAAGAAAACAAAAAAATAACGCGCCCTATTCATCATTAAAAATTGAATTTATATAAAAATTATAGAACTGAATCTGAAAGGTAAGAGAAGAAAATATACACAATGTAAGTAAGTAAGTAAGTAAGTAAGTAAGTAAGTAAGTAAGTAAGTAAGTAAGTAAGTAAGTAAGTAAGTAAGTAAGTAAGTAAGTAAGTAAGTAAGTAAGTAAGTAAGTAAGTAAGTAAGTAAGTAAGTAAGTAAGTAAGTAAGTAAGTAAGTAAGTAAGTAAGTAAGTAAGTAAGTAAGTAAGTAAGTAAGTAAGTAAGTAAGTAAGTAAGTAAGTAAGTAAGTAAGTAAGTAAGTAAGTAAGTAAGTAAGTAAGTAAGTAAGTAAGTAAGTAAGTAAGTAAGTAAGTAAGTAAGTAAGTAAGTAAGTAAGTAAGTAAGTAAGTAAGTAAGTAAGTAAGTAAGTAAGTAAGTAAGTAAGTAAGTAAGTAAGTAAGTAAGTAAGTAAGTAAGTAAGTAAGTAATTAAGTAAGTAAGTAAGTAAGTAAGTAAGTAAGTAAGTAAGTAAGTAAGTAAGTAAGTAAGTAAGTAAGTAAGTAAGTAAGTAAGTAAGTAAGTAAGTAAGTAAGTAAGTAAGTAAGTAAGTAAGTAAGTAAGTAAGTAAGTAAGTAAGTAAGTAAGTAAGTAAGTAAGTAAGTAAGTAAGTAAGTAAGTAAGTAAGTAAGTAAGTAAGTAAGTAAGTAAGTAAGTAAGTAAGTAAGTAAGTAAGTAAGTAAGTAAGTAAGTAAGTAAGTAAGTAAGTAAGTAAGTAAGTAAGTAAGTAAGTAAGTAAGTAAGTAAGTAAGTAAGTAAGTAAGTAAGTAAGTAAGTAAGTAAGTAAGTAAGTAAGTAAGTAAGTAAGTAAGTAAGTAAGTAAGTAAGTAAGTAAGTAAGTAAGTAAGTAAGTAAGTAAGTAAGTAAGTAAGTAAGTAAGTAAGTAAGTAAGTAAGTAAGTAAGTAAGTAAGTAAGTAAGTAAGTAAGTAAGTAAGTAAGTAAGTAAGTAAGCAAGCAAGCAAGTAAGTAAGTAAGCAAGTAAGTAAGTAAGTAAGTAAGTAAGTAAGTAAGTAAGTAAGTAAGTAAGTAAGTAAGTAAGTAAGCAAGCAAGCAAGCAAGTAAGTAAGTAAGCAAGTAAGTAAGTAAGTAAGTAAGTAAGTAAGTAAGTAAGTAAGTAAGTAAGTAAGTAAGTAAGTAAGTAAGTAAGTAAGTAAGTAAGTAAGTAAGTAAGTAAGTAAGTAAGTAAGTAAGTAAGTAAGCAAGCAAGCAAGTAAGTAAGTAAGTAAGTAAGTAAGTAAGTAAGTAAGTAAGTAAGTAAGTAAGTAAGTAAGTAAGTAAGTAAGTAAGTAAGTAAGCAAGCAAGCAAGTAAGTAAGTAAGCAAGTAAGTAAGTAAGTAAGTAAGTAAGTAAGTAAGTAAGTAAGTAAGTAAGTAAGTAAGTAAGTAAGTAAGTAAGTAAGTAAGTAAGTAAGTAATTAAGTAAGTAAGTAAGTAAGTAAGTAAGTAAGTAAGTAAGTAAGTAAGTAAGTAAGTAAGTAAGTAAGTAAGTAAGTAAGTAAGTAAGTAAGTAAGTAAGTAAGTAAGTAAGTAAGTAAGTAAGTAAGTAAGTAAGTAAGTAAGTAAGTAAGTAAGTAAGTAAGTAAGTAAGTAAGTAAGTAAGTAAGTAAGCAAGAAGTAAGTAAGTAAGTAAGTAAGTAAGTAAGTAAGTAAGTAAGTAAGTAAGTAAGTAAGTAAGTAAGTAAGTAAGTAAGTAAGTAAGTAAGTAAGTAAGTAAGTAAGCAAGCAAGCAAGCAAGTAAGTAAGTAAGCAAGTAAGTAAGTAAGTAAGTAAGTAAGTAAGTAAGTAAGTAAGTAAGTAAGTAAGTAAGTAAGTAAGTAAGTAAGTAAGTAAGTAAGTAAGTAAGCAAGCAAGCAAGCAAGTAAGTAAGTAAGCAAGTAAGTAAGTAAGTAAGTAAGTAAGCAAGTAAGTAAGTAAGTAAGTAGGCAGGTAGGTAAGTAAGCAAGGGAAGATCAAACAGATTAGAATTAAAGTATATGAAAGTGATTATGAAAAGAATACTTGTCAACATTCATGATCATGATCACGATCATCATCATTATCAACATCATATCAAATTATTCAAACAGACATATTGATTCGTAAAATGAAATCTATAAAGAGAATAATAATAATAATAAGAATTTAATGAACATATTACATAATATTGAAATTCATAATCATCCATTGTTGTATTAAAAAAAAAGAAAGAAAAAGGTATCTTTATTTTACTGAATATCAGTTTGTTTTCTTTTCTTTCTTTTTTTTCTTTGCTTTTTTTGTTTTTGTTTTGTTTTCTTATCTCGAAAAGAAAAAAGATTATTTTGTGCACAATCAATGTGTATTATAAATTAATGCAAACATCATTCAAATAATAATAATAATAATAAATGTAATCTGTTCGACTTTCGTTTCTTTTCTTCTTTTTTGTTTTTTTTTGTAAAAAAAGAAAAGAAAAGAAAGAAAAGAAAACAGAAGAAAGACAATCCAATTTATTATGATCCATTATTAAAGATGATAAAGAAACAACAATAACAACCAAAATGAAATTGGAATGTGAAGTGATTGTTTCAAAGTTTTGTTTCTTTTTTTCTTTTTTCTTTTTCTTTTTTTGTTGTTGAAAAATATTCGTGAGACTGTCATTTATGGTTAACGTCTAAATGATGCCAAACTAATCATGAGAGTGTTCATTTAATAATGAAGATCAAACTGAAAGTTATGAACATGTAGTGAAGAATTCAAATTATCACTTACACATGATGATTAAAGGTTAACAATTAGATTTCGGGGTGTTTTTTTTTATATCATAAACTAACATCAAAAAAATTTCTATTTTACCAAATTGCATGAATGAATTTTGCCGCCTAAAATCTCAAAACTTTTTATTTAATATTTAATTAGTTCGTTCATAAATTATAATCTTGCCAAACAAAATTCAATCATTCACTAATAGTTTCAATGTTCAATATTTAATATTCAATGTTCAATATTATGAGTATGATTGTTTAAATAAGCAACATCAATGATATGATAATAACAGATTGCCTTCTTGTTACAATGTTATTCAAGTACATTATTGAACATGTATTGTATATATGATGTAATATTATTTCATTTATATATAAATCAATCTTTATATTTCACACAATGATGATGGGAATAATGATTATGATCATGATGATAAATAATGAATATCAGTAGTTTTGTTCATGATTTATTAGTAATATAAAAAGTAGACTATAAAATAAGTAACAAAGAATTTTGAATAAATGCAAATAAATTATTGTTTGTTTACTTATTTGTTTGTTTGTTTGTGTGTGTGTGTGTGCGAGAGTGTGGGTGTGCGTGTAGGTGTATGGTTTCGTCAACATTTTCCTATACGATTAATTAAATTTGAAATCTGTAGAGAAAAACGTTGTTTTTTTTGTTTTATTTGATGAACTGAATAATCAATCAAAAAAAAAATTAGAGAAAAGTTTTAGTAAATTAAAAAGAAAACAAAAAAAAAATAAAGAATCCTTCCAATCTCTTGTTGGCATATGTGTATCCTCTGTGGATTGCCTCTATATTGATTTAATTCACAATCATTATAAGGGAAAGATGAGTAGTGGTTAGGAGTAAAATCTAGAATGTGAACCACTTCGTCTTATTTGAAACTGGTCAACTGAATGTACCTGAATTCCAGAGTTCAAGTTCACTCTTAGACTCAAGCCTCTTGCTGTTATCCACATAGCTATTGAATCATAATAGTCAAGCAAACAATACCAAGTGAATTTCAACTTCATCTCATTGCATAAACATGTAACTATTAGGAATCGGTAGCTAAGTGGATAAGGCGATGGTATTTGAAGTGAATGGCACTGGATTCAAGTTCAAGAGTGAACATCAACTCTAAGATGCAGGTACATCCAGCTGACGAGTGCCGTAAGTCCTGGATCCTACCGCTAACCATTAATTATATTTGTTTAGGAGGAATATATTTGTAAAATCTTAATAATTGAATATAAAGTAAATTCAATGTTTCACTTGACAATTTGATCCAACCTTTTTCAAAGAAATATAATCAAACACTAATAATTCAATCATTTTGATATTTAATTATATTTCGTTAGAAAACCATAGAACAGATTGTCATGTGAAATGTTGGATTTACTTCATATTGAATCACTAAGATTTTACAAATACATTCATCTACCTTAATGTTTTATATGAATTTAGCAGCTAAACATTCATTCAAATTTAGACCGAAAGTTATGTAACAACGAAAGAAAGAGAATATTTTATTACAGAGAATTAGGTTGGATCAGTATTTTAGCTTCTAACAAACTATTCAATAAAAGTTCGAGATAGTATTAATGAATTTGAATGGTGGTTATAGAGTTAAATTCTTAATCATAACATATCTTTTGACATAGATTCGAACTTTATTTCATGAATTGGTTGAAGTTAGACATTAACATCGTTGAATACCAGCAGGCTCAGTGATCTAGAAGTTTAGCATCCACGCACGAGACTGATGGATTCTGAGTTCGAATCTGGTAAGGCTGGATCGTGAATGAGCATTAGCAAGGAGAAGTCCCACAATAGGACGAAACGGGTGTTTAGTGCTTCCAGATTTTCCATGGTGGCCTAACTTCATTTATTATTTATTTATTTTAACACATAGATATTGGTACAAGGAGGCACAAAATACATATGCGCCACACAGATCTCATTTGATATGTGTGAGGGCCGTGATACTGCCCGGGTGCACAAACCGAAGTAGGTGGTTTTCTTAGGAGGCCACACTCGGAGCCTTCGACCTGAAGGTCTGATCCACAAGGCAGTGGAGCATCGTAAGGAGATGCAGTCCCATGTTAGCCGGTGACCAACGATCGGTTCATACGCCATTTGTTCCTTCAGGATTCTGGAGCCCATGTACACCATTAGTTTGGAATCAAGGTTTTCCAACTCCCCTAGGTGAACTCTCTATGTCCATTAATCTTGTTAAAGTGCCAGACATTCGATTTCCGTCCTCTCAATTTTGTAAACATAACCCTCTCCACGAGAAGGTAGTAAGTACGACTTCACTGACAGAGGCCTAACTTCAATTGACTCATGATCTCAACTATTAAAATGACTATAGTATTCACAAAAACTCTTCTCTGATTATACATTGAATATATCAAGTCAATGGTTATTTACACTTACCTGACTTGATTATTTCACTGGAATACTTTTTATAATTATGTAATCATTATTTATTATTTCTTTTGTTGATTAAATTAAACATGAATCTGATTCATCATCTAAAGAATAAAAAGAAATTTATAAACAAAAAAGTTTACCTGATAAAGATAGAAAAAAAGAAAAAGAAAAGAAAAGGAAAAAAAGAAAAGATGAACTATTCATAGATTTATGAACTAATCCATATGTTTCTAGTTCAAGAAGTTTTGTATACACTCTCTTTGTTTTCCCTTAAACTAAGAGATTAAAATCGCTTCATATCTTTCTTTCTATGGACTAATTCTTTCTTCCTATACTATATCCTTATATGAAATCTTTCTCTTTTATATATTACCACCATTGAATTAACTACTTTTATGAACCCGGTGTTCAGCTTGTTGTGTCAATGAGGTATGGCAACTTGGACTGATGCATATATGTGGCTGGTCCTACGTTGTAGCTGACTGACTGACTCACTGACTGTAGAAATTGTTTAATTTTATTGTTTATATCAAAGATATTGAAATGAAAGTGGATTGAACAACTGGCTCATGGATCCATAACTTACATTATCGATAGAATTGAACATAACTAGGAATTGTATTGAGTGTTAACTATATAGACTATGAAATGATGATTTACTGGTTCTTTATTCTAACTTTAATGAATCAATAATGTTTTTAAATCATTTTCTAATATAATTGATGTGTAACTGCCTCGAGTTGAATGTAATTGAACACCAATAGTTCTTAGTGGTTGTTTAACTATGATCAAAGGGTGATATGAATTTATATATTTTTATCTAAACATCACACATAAATGTCAAGACATTTCTATCACATTTTTTAGGGGGGGGGAATTTGGAGAATTACCAAAGCCTATCATCCAAAAGTACATCAACTTCATTGACTACGAAAAGGCATTTGATAACGTGGACAGAACAACACTATGGAAACTTCTTCGACACTACGGCGTGCCCAAGAAGATAGTCAATATCATACAGAACTCATATGATGGATTACACTGCAAAATTGTGCATGGAGGACAGTTGACAAAGTCGTTCAAAGTGAAGACCGGTGTTAGGCAAGGTTGCTTACTCTCACCCTTTCTCTTTCTCCTGGTGATCGACTGGATCATGAAGACGTCAACGTCTGAAGGGAAGCGCGGGATACAATGGACATCTAAGATGCAGTTGGATGATCTAGACTTCGCAGACGATCTGGCCCTTCTATCCCAAACGCAACAACAGATGCAGGAGAAGACGAACAGTGTGGCAGCAGCCTCAGCAGCAATAGGTCTCAATATACACAAAGGGAAAAGCAGGATTCTCCGATACAACACAGAATGCACCAATCCAATCAAAATTGACGGAGAAGATTTGGAAGATGTAAAAACCTTTACGTATTTGGGCAGCATCATTGATGAACAGGGTGGATCTGATGCAGATGTGAAGGCGCGGATCGGCAAAGCAAGAGCAGTATATTTACAACTGAGGAACATCTGGAACTCAAAGCAACTCTCAACCAACACCAAGGTCAGGATTTTCAATACAAATGTCAAGACAGTTCTACTGTATGGGGCAGAAACCTGGAGAACTACAAAAGCCACCATCCAGAAAATACAGGTGTTTATCAACAATTGTCTACGCAAAATACTTCAGATCCATTGGCCGGACACTATTAGCAACAACGTACTGTGGGAGAGAACAAACCAGATCCCAGCGGAGAAAGAAATCAGGAAGAAGCGCTGGAAGTGGATAGGACATACATTGAGGAAAGCACCCAACTGCGTCACAAGACAAGCCCTCACATGGAATCCTGCAGGCCAAAGGAAAAGAGGAAGACCAAAGAACACATTACGCCGGGAAATGGAGATAGACATGGGAAAAATGAACAAGAATTGTATGGAACTAGAAAAGAAAGCCCAGGACAGAGTGGGTTGGAGAATGCTGGTCGGCAGCCTATGCTCCATTGGTAGTAACAGGCGTAAGTAAGTAAGTAAGTAATCATCCAAAAGATATGTGTTTGTCAACAGTTGTTTAAGCAAAAACTTCTGATCCGTTTGTCAGACACTGTAAGCAACAATCAACTATGAGAGAGAAAAAACCAGATTCCAGAGAACGAAGAAATCAGGACGAAGAAACGCTGGAACTGGATAGGACACACATTGAGGAAAACACCCAACTGCATCACAAGGTAAGCCCTCAGTTGAAGTTCTCAAAGCCAAAGAAAAAGAAGAAAACGAAAGAACACATTACACGGAGAAATGGAGACAGACATGAGAAGAATGAACAACCATTGGAAAGAACTTGAAAGGAAGACCCAATAGAGAGTGGGTTGGAGAATGATGCTGATCGGTAGCCTATGCTCCGTTGGGGGTGATAGGCATAAGTAAGTAAGTAAGTTACTAACATAGAAGTAGTTAAGGTTTTTCTCGTGTTGATTCAGAAAGCTTATTGGATATTTAGTAACCTGTTATATCTCAACGATGAATAAATGATTAGTAACTGGTGGGAATAATTTATGGACTATCATTAAGTAACTAGATTATATATATATATTCATTATTCCGTTTGTATTAAGCCTTCACTTGACCTATTGACTACTATTATAAGATTTACTATTCTTAAGTTGACACGTTAAACGCCACAGACACCTCACAAGCTGAGGTTTGTAACTAATTTTTATGTATTATTTAAAAAAGAACCACTATTTTAGACAAATCGTTGTTTTGCTAACTTCGGTTTTGCGCGTATCTCAATTGGATGACCTGGACGCTTCGATAGATTTAGCACCAAGTATGTCTAAAATATGCAATTCATACAGTGAAAGCTAATATTTATGTTCTGAACTGAATTGACTAGGCTAGATGAGAAGCTACTATTGACAGGATTAATCAGGACTACGGGTTGATTCAAAGCTCCTAGTGTTGGTCAACGCATGATTGGTTTCACACAGGACAAGGTCATATAAGTCGGTGTACTGATTGTCGATTTACTCACATGATATTTAACGGGTCATAGAACAATACAACCTATATTCTTGATAGTATAATTTATCTAAGTATACCTAGTAATAGCTTATTTTCATCCTAACTATGTCAAGAAACTAATTTAATGGACAAGTGAGATTGTATCAATTCAAGAAAGGTAATTATTAATGTCATCAATTGCATAGTATCTGGAATGGTATGAACTAATCATTCATTAATAACTAATTAATGAGAGTAACGTAAAGAGAAAGATTTATAATTACTTTCTGACATATTTTTTCATGCTTAAATAGTAACTTGTTATTCAAACTATTTGGTTGGACTTCGCAGATGACCTAGCCCACCTATCCCATACATACGAACAAATGCAGATGAAGACAACTCGTGGAGCAGCAGCCTCTGTATCAGTAGGCCTCAACATACACAATGGAAAAACCTAGATCCTCAGGCACAACACAAAAAACACCAATTCAATCACACATAATGGTGAAGGTCTGAAAGATGTGGAATCTTTCATATACCTGAGAAGCATCATAGATGAACAAGGAGGATCAGAAGTAGACGTAAAGGCGACGATTGGCAAAGCAAGGGCCTCATTCCTTCACTTGACGAACACATGGAGTTCAAAACAACTGTCAACCAATATCAAAGTCACAATCTCTAATACGAACGTCAAGACAGTCCTACTCTACGGATCTAAACTTGGAGAACTACTACAATTATCATCAAGAACGTACAATTATTTATAAATGATTGCCTAGGCAATATACTCAACATCCATTGGCCCGATACCATTAGTCACAGCCTCCAGATGAAGAAAAAAATTAAGAAAATACGATGGAAATGAATAGGACATACATTACGCAAATCATCAAACTGCATCACGAGGCGAGCCCTAACTTGGAATCCTGATGGGAAGTGGGAAAGAGGAAGGTCAAAAACACATTACGTCAGAAAATAGAATCAGATATGAAAAGGATAATTAACAACTGGAAATAACTGGAAAGGATTGCCCAGGACACGGTTGGATGGAGAATGCTGGTGAGTGGCCTATGCTCCTCCACGAGGAGTAACAGGCGTAAGTAAGTATTGATATGATTTTCTAATTGAAACGCTAGATTCAATTTCCTAAGCTGTTCTTGTACATCTTGAGTTTAGATCTACACAGCTAATTAAACACGAGAGAAAAAGGCACAAAATATGGAAGGAAACGCTTTATTCCAAAGGTTCGTCTATGTACAGAAAATCTAGGGGTTTTATAATATTTTAGATGGCCATGGGTTTCCGCGAAATTCTGGAACGCTACTGAGCATAGTAGCAGTTTAAGTAATCATCCAATGTTTTTGACGGAGTTTTGTTTTCTGAGCTGGATGGTTAAGCCATGGAGCTTTCATAGTTCTTTTGAACAATGACAGGTTTAAGGTCAACAATAACCAATCGACATTGAGGTCCATAGGACAAGCTGTGAATCACATGTGGAGAAATTCGAACACTTCACTTCCACCCGACGTTTTTGCTGATAATGATTTCGTTCAGAAGAACGATGAAAGCTCCACAACCAAACCAGTCCAGGTCAGAGAACAAAACTTCAGCATCCACCTGAGCAACAAATCTTCACCACTATATCAATCATCCAATCAGAAACACGATATATTACTTTTCACCTTTTAAATGTTTCTGGCATAACTTCTATTGAATACTGATTGGATAAGATGTTTCTGAGCATTTTCAGAGCGCTTTTTTAGGCTTTCTTTCGAGGAATTTTCTGGATCTCCCTAACAATGTTATGTATTGAAATGGGATTTTTGTATCCTTGATAGATATTTAGGCAATTAGTCAATGTTTTCATCTTTTAAAATCAATTTTTGTGAGACTTGGTGATTAGTTGGATGAGAAAGTTGTTTTAAGGTTTGGCAACTTTTATATTCTCAATATGTCTTTAATATCTACCAATTTGAATAAATTTTTGTAAGTTTATCAAATGATACACATTTCTAACCTGAGGAGTTGTCATTCAGTCAGCTACAACGTAGGACCAGGCACATATATGCATCGGTCCAAGTTGCCATACCTCATTAACACAACAACATGAACACCGGAATCATAAAAGTAGTTAATTCAATGGTGGTAATATATAAAAGAAAAAGATTTCATATAAGGATATAGTATAGGAAGAAAGAATTAGCTCGTAGAAAGAAAGATATAAAGCAATTTAAATATCACAGTTAAGGGAAGACATAGAGTGTATACACCGACGCCGTTGTGATCGATTCTGAGTCATGTCACTCAGAGTCTCTAACTATTGGTTATGATAGTCACGCAGACCCCAACAAAGTAGTCTGCATCTCCCAACATGACTAAGACTAGAAGTTAGTGACTTCAAGCACTGATGCCACGTTTTGGTTTGGCCGCTCCTAACTTTCTTCCAACCATCTCCAACACCTGTTAGCACTGCATGTCGCGGTAATCGGTGTTGTGAATATTAATCACTAGATACTGAATCATTAAATGTAAAGTTAGACCTCAGTGTTTTGATCTCAATCCCTGAATGAGAGTAAAGTCTTGGATACATATTGATGACAACTAGGGAATAAGAATAACTCAACTATTCTACACTTTCTAGCTGCTTATAAGTAACAAGAATCAAAGTTCACATTCTTAATTTATGGTACTTACCATCAATTTCATGACCATTTATTTTCAAGTTATTATTGATTGGAGCTTTCTGTACTGTAGAGGCTTCGATATCATTACAAGACTGAAATATATGAACATTTAAACAAAAAGAAATGAATATAATTAGATAAATAACACGGCATAGAAAAGTGTAATAAAAACTATCGAATTCTATTGATCAGGTTCCAATGTAACCATTGGCCCCTCTGGGGCTACTTCCAGTCCCAAGCCCGGATAAAGGAGGAGGATTTGGGCATGGGGTTAGCGACCCCCATCCCGTAGAAAACTAACTCGCTGAAAAAATGCTAACCAGGAAAAATGATTTAAACCATTTAAACTCCGTCCTGGGAGTTAGAAGATCTTCATTTAGAAGAGTCATGATATCTCATGTTGAAAGCCGAGTTCCTTTGGAAGTCACGAGGTTGATGCCCCTTCCGAAAACCAGATTAACCATTAATTTAACTAAATGAAGTGATCGCACAATGTAGGAGATCGGGAGAGTCTTTCAAATTGCTGCTGCCTAAAGTTCTGTCGAAAAGTTGTGAAAGGGTCTTAGAATGGTTCTTAAATGTAATTGAATCCATAAATCATTTCAATTATCTTAGATGTTTCATCAGTCTGGGGAGATTGAAGTTTGAAAACAATCTTTCTACGTGTTCAATTAACTTTTTTTATTTTTCCCCAAATTATTTCATGTGCAATGTATGCGAAATTTTCAATGGGTAACCATTGAAAGATGGGTATCACTCAGTCAGCTACAACGGAATTAAAGAGAGAGGATGAATATGATTACAGTGGTCCTGAATTCTGTTGGAGATATGAAGGCCGTTATCACTTCTCAGTCGCCCACACCATGGAAGAGTTCTTCCGGAGGTACTTGAAAAAGAAATTGAATTAGAGTTGGTCTTAGTGACCTGAAGGCGTGACCGCAGTACACAAAGGGATAACTGTTTTAGGCCGGTCACACACGATCATTCTGAAGGTAATTTTCGTGTTGGCTACGTACTTGTTGAAGTCTGACCACGTCAGACAGAAATCCGGTGGATACAGTGAAGTGTGCATTTTAAAGGGTCGACCTTTTATAACCCCACACTTCCTTTGTGGGAATGCAGCATTGTTATCATACTGGTTATCAGAGGGAAACAGCTTGCTGCCGTCACACCTATGTACAATCAGTAGTACGACTTTGTCTTCGGACCTTGAGTTGACTGCTTTTAGTCTTACCATTCTTCAACTGATCTGTGTTGCATGGTAGGACCTTGACGAACGATTGCTCTAGCTAGTATAGCCCGATTGGTTGATTACGACAGGCAAGTTGGACCACCACATCATCGTAGCAACAATGGTCGGGAAAAGACGAATATATTGTACAACAATTCGTCCTATTCTACTTTATGACTGAGAGACATGACCTTTAGAAATAGATGTTATTAGGTGATTGATATTCAATCATAGATGATTTCGAAGCATTCATTCGTAGCGTATACTAGGATAATCAAGTGAGTAGTGTTAAGATCAGACACACAGTACAAAGTAAAGGTGGCAAATCAATTGATAATGTTAAGGAATCTTCATCGGTTGAAGTGGTTAGGACATTCATTATATGCACCCAACCACTTCATATTTTAATGTGCCCTGTCAATGGTGTAGTAGTAGGTTGGACTAAAGCTACGAGTGACCAAGCCAAGAGATGGGATGAGTTCATGAACTCATCAAGTACTGAACTGAGTTGTTTTAGTACGTGAAGACTACCTAGCTACTGTCCACTTTATTATCACAACCAATGATTGGAGACCATGAGTGACAGGTATCAAAATATACTGCAATGGTGCAGATCAATCCACTGTTTATCTTCCCTTATAGCTTTTAGTCTATGAACTCATTATCTCTCGAATCAATTTATCTGTGCTTAATGTTTCTCATTATTACTAATACTTCTACTGATCTTAGTAATTTCGTCGCATTATTCTGATATGGTAATGGCAACTCATATTGATTCACATATGAATCATTATGACTGAGATATCACCAAAGTAATAAATCCAATCACACACAAATCATATATCAATTACCATGTTGTCAACATCTTTGTGAATATCAGCAAACTGGAAATATGTCATTTATTAGTTATTATATTTTTATGCCCTGATTAGATCCACTTTGTATGGCATATCCAGTAGGTGGTACAGCTTAATTTGATTGGTACATCTAGAAAATAATTCTAGCGCTTAATATATATATCAAATGGGAAGTATACTGCTTAGCAGTTCTTTCTGAATAATTAATTTCCAAAGTTATTGGATGCTATATCCCAATGAGAATAATGGATGGTAACTTTTGGGGTCGATTTATGGGCCAATACTATGCGGATATTTTTATCGTATAAACGTTAAATAATTAAACTATTCATATTCATGTCCCCCTCATTGTAAGCTTTATTTTGACCTATAGACTATTATTATATGACTTGCCATTCTTGAGTTATGCCCAGCCTATCAATTACTGCCTCCCATATTCACAGCCACATTTGGTCAAATCTTGCATAAATGTTGTTTCCTATTTTATGGTACGGTGTAATCTGTATGGTTGGTATATAAACCCAGTATGTTTGAAATAAATGATCCATATCACAGAGGCTAAGTTTGGTATTCTGGACTTAACAGACAGGGCTAGGCAGGAAACAGGCTCGGTAAAGGATCCACACTGTTCGTACAGGTTTTATGCATCATTGGTCCGGTCTATAAATCACCGTTCTGTAATTAGCGGTATCATTATGTTATACATTAATAGGACACAGGGCACAAGTTATAACATTAGACACGTATCAGTTGTAAGTATTTGATCATAGATGCCGTTGAAAAGTTTTGTAAAAGTCATTCTAACAAAAGAGTTACCTTTAAGATGATGTTCATGATGAAAATCAATTGAACTGTTAAATATTAACAACTTTAAAGAATAAACTTTGATAAACCACGATTTTGATAAAAAAAAACTTCCCAGTAAAGTCCAATTAGAACAATGTGTTTAAGAAATAAGCATTCTATACCTTTAACATTCCTTTGCTATACATTCAATGACAAACACTATTTCTGAGCTACTTATATCCACATAAGTAATATATAACGATAGTCAGGAATAGAATGTATTTCAATAGAAGGTCGAGAAGGAAAGAACAAGAACAGAAAGCAATTGATATCTTTCAAATGAAATATTTACTGTATGGTTCATAGATTTTAGTATCACATTCTGTAATTGATGTTCAAATGCATTTGACTAACTGGCGCCCCCCCCCCAATTGTGTTTTCGTTCACTACACTATGAGTTTGTTTTATTTCATTTTGATCAATATGATCTAAAGGCTTAGTTAGTAAATGGAATATGGGTGACAGTTAGCATAATTGACAAACAGTATCTATTCGATAGATATATGTTGATGATTAAGTTGAAAGTGTTATATCTTGAAAAGCTGATTTTCTCGATATACCGCGTATAACAGAGCACTAGAACACCAAAACCCTTCCAAGTCGAAATAAGAAAACAGAAGACTAACGAAAGGAATATTATTCCAAACAGTGTCATTCATAGTACAAAATTGTCAGGTATTTATGGTTTTTAGTGAGAACGAAATCATCATTACAGTCTCCCAATCCGCATACAGGGGGTTATTAGCATTATCCAATCGGGAAGCTACACGTTGGAATTCTAGAACATTCTTCCGAAAGGTGATTGGATGGGACGTCTACGGCTCCTTCTGAGCCTCTTACAGCTTCCTCGAGTTCACCGATGGTCCGTCGTCACAGAAAGTTTGTTGTTCATCTTCTTGATTCAACTATTCTCAATGTTTAGTTCAGTATGATTTCATTATAGAAACTAAGATCATACAAGTTAAACTAAATCTTATGAAGTGATTTCAAGAGGTTCATTGAACTCTTATGACAAAAAAAGTGATAAAGATTCACTAGATTGAGTAATGTTTATTAAGCAAAATATAATTGTACAATATATTCATTTCATTCAATGAATTAAATCTCACGAGGTTGGATCGTGGATAAGCACTGCTGATGAGCCCAACAGTAGGACGAAACTGTCGTCTAGTTCTTCTAGGTTTTCCATGGTGGTCTACTAGCAATCGGTTTATAATCTCAATCAAAAGCTTAATAATCTTCACAACCCTATACTGACTTTTGATTAGTCATTTTAACATTTTACAAATGATATAGATCATCTTGAGATTTCATTTATTCTTTATGATTTGGTTCATAGTATTTTGATTATGAAGAGGTTCTTATGTTAATTGTATTATTTACCCTATGGTCGATGTTTACTTTGACTGTTCATCGCCTCATTTTATTTCATTTCAGTCAGTCAGCTACAATGTAGGACCAGGTACTTACATGCATCGGTGCATGATGCCATATCACATTAGCAAAACAAGATGAACAAATTCATAGAACTAGTTACTTCAGTAGTAGTAATATATAAAAAGAAAATTGTGTATAATGATATGATATGGAGAAAAAGAATCAGTTCATAGAAGGGAAAACAGAGTGTATACACCGGCAGCATTGTGACCAATTCTGAGCCATGTCACAGAGTCTTCAACTATTGGTTAAAATAGTCACGTGGACCCCAATAAAGTAGTCTGCATCTACCAACATTGCTCAGACTAGAAGTTAGTGACTTTAAACACTGATGTCAAGGTTTCTGTTTGACTGTCCCAAATTTTCTTCCAGTCGTCTCCAACGCTAGTCAACATTGTTTTTAGTTCATCTAAATTGTCTTGAATAGCCTACTAGATGAATTTTCAAATTGAAATTGATGTAGTTAGTTGTTTTGAAATGTTCATGTGCGGCCATATTTGATCTATATAGGTTTGAATATGTTAAATAAATATTCCCTTCGATATATACTGGTTATTACTAGAGTTTAAAAGTTTCCGTTACTGATTTACAATGAATATATTTTAATGCAATCCAATGTATACATAAATGTAGGAGTGTTATCAGAATTGATCATTGGCTTCTGTCCTGAGATACATGTGATGTAAATTCACCTGGTACTGTCTACTTGAATCTTCCCCTTGATCAGTCTCTTATTGGCACGTATACATACTGTTCGTATGGCCTCGATGTTGTCTTAATTCACAAGTACTATAAACAAAGATAAATAGTGACCAGCAGTGGAATGTAGGCACATCCAGCTGACGAGTCCAAAACAGGATAAAACGCGCGTCCTGCATTCCATTACTAGCCACTACCCATTTTCTCTAATATCTGATCTAGTTTTTAAACGAAGGAAATGTGCAATTTTTATTTCTGAGTACTAGGGGTTGTAATAAACTTAAAGATATAGAAATCCAGATGAACTATTCTTGATTTTACGACGATATCCCCATTCTTTTTAAATCTAATTTCTTCATCGACAAATAGTGTACAGTGTTAAATTTACTAAGATAATAGGTGTAAACGATACTGTATTCAGTGTTTCAAAATGGGGACCATCACTGGTTTGACATTCACGGTGAATCCAAAAACAGGCTACAATAGGATGAAACGGCCGTCAAGTGCTTCCAGGTTAGCCATGGTGGTCTAGCTTGAATTGACTCATGATCTCAACCATTAAAATTACTATAATGTCCACAAAACCCCTTCTGATACTAATCAACATATGCTCACTAGTGACGGTCTCCAAAAGGTATATCCTGGAGTTCTAGTGAGCAGTGGAGTTCAGCCGGGTCTTTGGTGAGACAGTAACTCAATGATGACAATGGTGGATGTATAGCTCAATTTCGTGGATTAGTTGAAGTTAGACATTAACACCATTTAGTGCCGGCTTGTTCAGTGGTCTAGTGGTTAAGTGCTTGTGCGCGATACCAGTAGGTCTTGGGTTTGAATCCCTCGGGGCGGGGTCGTGGATGTGCACTGCTGAGGAGTCCAGTTTTCCATGGCGGTCTAGCTTCAATTGAATCATGATCTCAACTACTGAAATTACTTTAGATTGTGTTAAATTTCTACGTAATTCAATAATTATGATGATTCGGGATGTTACTCATCAACTGAATGGGTATGATTCAAGTAGACGATGAAATTTCTCGGCAAAATTAATTTATTCAAATATTAACCATGTGTTTATTAAGCTCTATTTTATTTGACTCATTTTGATCCGGTATAATTTGTAATGATGACTTGAATACCAGTTGGAAACTTACAATGAAATAAGTGGTCTTCTAGGAAGAAACAACAGTTGATTCTTTAACTGAAGTATCTAGTCCACAAAGAAGTGGATCAGAATTCAGAGCTGAATGCTTTCAAAAACCTGAGCAATTTGGAATTCATTAACAAGTCATGCTTGAAATAATGAAGGAATTGTCGCTTCCTGTAAGCTCTGAACTTAATTCACTCAGTTCTACAATTTGACAACTTATTAATATACTATTAAAGATGTAAGTAATGATCTGTACAGTATAGATACTTGAATTGTTGAGTTAGTCAGATTATTCACTTAATTGTAACTTAATCGACAAATTTCTATCAACACTAATGACTTGAAAGGATGTAACTTTAATTTACAACATTCAATGAATAGTCAATATCAATACTTAATTCTTGTCAATCAGTCAATTAGCTACAACGTAGGACCAGTCACATATATGCATTGGTTCAAGTTGTCATATTGGATTAGCACAGGAAGATGAACACCGGCTGTAACAAATATTGATTTAATTATGATAGAGTTTTATTCTTTGAACTGGATAGTTTGGTCATGGAGCTTTCATTGTTCTTCAAAACGACATGATCAGCATATTGAATTTTGATTAAAGTAAACTATCTTTCCGAATTTCAGTTAGCTGTTCAAATTAATTTTTCTGATGTAATTTGATAGATGCAGTTTTTCTGTTCCTTAAAAAAAACAGATTTATCTTGACATTTTCACTAAAATTTACTTGTAGTAGTTACTATGGTAATAAAATAATAAAATTTGGCAAAACTATAATTTATGAACGAACCAATCAAAAGGGTTTGGGGGGTTTTCAAGATCATAATGCCAATTTCAGTACTTGATGCTCATATACGATCAGTTCATAGTGAATTTTAGAGAAAATGTGATAATTGAGCGGCTACGATAAATGGGACTACTAAAAAGTTCCTTTATTTGTGATCGTGGTAATCGAATGACATATGGACCTTGTGCAGACTACCATGATGATATTGTCTTTCGATGTAATATATGTTGGAAGAAGAAGTCTGCTAGAATAGAGATATATGCTTAATAAACATGACAAGCTTACATCAATAAAGTGCACACAAACAATATTGAAGCTATGTGGTCGAGACTGAAAGAGTTTTTGCCACCTTATTGTGGCTTCAAAGGCTGACTATTATAGAGCCATATGGATGAATTCCACTACCGTGTGCATTAGGATTCTAGGACCTTTGAACCTCTATCTAACCTTGACAAGTTTTTGAACCCTGTAAAAGAAGTGTATCCAATTTAACTCAAGTTTTTCCTCTATATTAACTGTTTCCTTATTGACTAATGTTCCTTAAGGTCAAATGTCGTCCATAAGTTATAGACTCGCCAAAATTATGTTGAAAAAGACTACTGTCATTATTACTCTTAATGTGTGAGTAGTCTAACGACTTTGATATTTAATAAAACCTATTAGCTATGAGTAAAAAAATAAAGATAGTCAATATCATACAGAATTCCTATGATGGATTAAACTGCGAAATCGTGCATGGAAGAAAGCTCACACACTCGTTCGATGTAAAGACCGGTGTCAGGTAAAGTTGCTTACTCTCCTCCTTTCTCTTTCTCCTCGTGATCGACTGCATTATGAAGACGTCAACATCTCGGCGGAAGCATAGAATACAGTGAACAGCTACGATGCAGTTGGATGATCTGGACTTCGCAGATGATATGGCTCTTCTATCGCACACGCAACAACAAATGTAGAAGAAGACAACCAGTGTAGCAACAGCCTCAGCAGCACTAGGTCTCAACATACACAATGGGAAAAGCAATATTCTCCAACAAAGCAAAACATGCACCAATCCAATCACAATCGATGGAGAAGATTTGGAGGATGTAAAATACTTTACATATCTGGGTAGCATAATTGATTAACACGGTGGATCTGATGCAGATGTGAAGGCGTGGATCGGCAAAGTAAGAGCAGCATATATACAACTGAAGAACATCTGCAACTTAAAACAACTCTCTGTCAACCGACATCAATGTCAGAATTTTTAATACAAATGTCAAAGCAGTTCTACTGTATGGGGTGTAAACTTGGAGAACTACGAAAGTCATCATCCAGAAGATACAAGTGTTTATTAACAGTTGTCTACGCGAAATACTTCGTATCCGTTGGTCAGACTCTATCAGCAACAACCTACTGGATAGGACACAGATTGAGAAAAACACACAACTGTGTCACAAGACAAGCGCTCACATGGAATCCACAATGACAAAGGATAAGAGGAAAACGAAAGAACACATTACGCCGATAAATAGAGAGTGACATAGGAAGAAGAATGAGGAGCAGTTGGATAGAGCTCTAAAGGAAAGTCCAGTAGAGAGTGGGTTGTAGAATGTTGATCGGTAGTCTATGCTCCTCTATTGGGAGCATTATACGTAAGTATGTATATAAGTAAAAAAAACTAATAAGTGCTTACATGATTATTATAATTATTCTTATTGTTACCATTGTTCGCTTCAGCTTTCATTTGATGAAGATATGGTTCCGATTGTATTGATCTCAATTTACCATTCATATGAAAGTTTACTTCATTTGTCAATTTATTTTTTACTGGTGATGATGATGATGATGTCGTCGACGTCGACGACATTAATGACGGTGTTAATATGTTAACTGTTGATGGTTTTATAAAATTTGATTGTTTCTTATATTCTACCACTTTATCAATATTATTATTCAATGTTTCATCATTCATAGATATAACAGAAATCTCAGTGATTTCTGATATATTTAATAAATCTGATTCAGAATCCCATTTATGATCAGATGATTCATTATGATATTGTTTTAATGTATTCATCATCTTATTATCTTGTTTATATTTTGATGATAAAGATGATGATGATAAATATAAAAGATGTTGGGCAGAGAATGATGATGACGATGATGATGACGATGGTGATGTTGTTGTTGTTGTTGTTGTTGTTGTTGTTGTTAAAGATGATAATGATTTCATAGTGAATTTATACTTATTTTGTCTATTAGTTAATTCATTATGTAAAGTTGTTATTGTTGGTGTTGTTGCTGATGGATCAAGTTCAGAGTTTTTCAATTCATTTGATAACAATAAATTTGATGATTTTGATATGTGACATTCAAGTTGATTATTATAATTACTACTATCATTGAAATTAGTAATATCAGCATATGTATGTGGTGATAATGATGATGAAATTGATGGTGATAATGATGATGATGATGATGATAATGTTGTTGACAGTGGTTGTGCTGTTGTTGTTGTCGTTGTTGTTCTTGATGAATCTTTCAACTGTTCAGTTTCATCTTTAATGATTAAAACAGCTGATTGAGATTTTCTTTCTAAATAATTAGTTTTACTAATATTCAGTGTATGAATGGATCGACGATAGTTATTATTATTATTATTGTCATTATTATTATTATTAGTAGTAGTAGTAGTAGTAGTAGCAGTAGTAATGTTATGATTATTATCCATTGTATTATTATCAATACTAAGCTGTCGAGTATTCCATGCCATATCAACACTTGTAGAACGTTGTGTATTACGTCGTCTAAGATCAGCACGTAAAAAACTAGTTCGATGCATTATTCTAATATTGTTATTACTGTAGTTGAAATTTGTGTTAGTAATAATACTATTATTATTAGTAGTAGTAGTATTATTATTACTATTACTATGATTACCGTTAATAACTCCTTGATTTATTACAAAAGAAAATGGTAGAAAAGATTAAATCATATAAGATATTCATTATCACAGCGGAAAAGAACAAACAAACAAACAAGGATTTATTAATTTCAGTAGTTGAGATCATGAGTCAATTAAAGCTAGATCACCATGGAAAATCTGAAAGCACTAGACGGCCGTTTCGTCCTATTGTGGGACTCCTCAGCAGTGATATATTACTTCATAAGTTTAAATGCCATTTAATTGATTATATTTTGTGGACAAAGATCAAAGATGTATTGTTTCTGTTTAAACACATAAACGTTGGTACAAGGTGGCACTAAATAAATATGCGCCAGATAAATCATTCGATTTGTGTGAGAGCTAGGATACTGCCTCGTTGCCGAAACAGAAGCAGGTGGTTTTTTTAAGGGACAACACTGGTTTGGAATCAGAGTTTTCCAAATCCCCTGGGTGGATCCTCCATATCGATCAACCCGGTTACAGCGCTAAACACTCACTTCTTGTCCTTTCAATTTCGTAAATAACACTCCCGCCTTTAGAAGGCAGTGAGTAGGAACTCTGTGGAAGTGTTTGTATGTACATGGCCATCTGAGAGCATTTCGAGAGGGAGGGCTGACTCTCCTCAATCTCGGCCGTACAAGGGCATTTTGGGCCCCTGGATAAATATGAAAGATGTATACATTTTGTTTCATTTGAAAATCACCAATTAAGTGTATTTCATTATACATAATCATTCAGAAATAACAGTATTCATTATTTTTTGCCACAAACTCATTTGTAACAGATGTTCTATTCATATTATCATTATTTTTAAGGGTTTGTGGTTGTTGGTATTCGGTACAATTTTTTAACTTCGTGCACTGCTCTTCCTGATAACCGTCACTAGATAACGCCCAATGGTGTGTAGAAATCAGAAGAAGAATACGAAGCGTTGTTTACGCACAGATCACCAAAACTACAGGCACACCAGGCAATAATGATATGTGAGTGTCGAAAAGCAAGCGAGTGAGTGAGCGAGTCCATGAACAATATTAAAATGTAATCGCTGAGTGGATAACGCGATGGGTGCGAGTCACAGAGTGGATATCAATTCTAAGATGCCGGTACATCCAACTGACGAGTCCCAAATAGGACGAAACATGCATCCTGGATTTCACAGCTAGCCACTAACCATCTTTGTTTAAAAGTTATTATCGTCGCATTACTCATATATCAGTAGTATAAAATCATTTTATTATAAATATAAATTATTTAATAATCATATTATAGGAACTTACTCGACTGAATTTCTGGTAACTGTTGAAAGTTGATAATTTTTAATTGTAACATATCTCTTGTTGTTGTAATCAAATCAACTACTTGTGTATGCGTTGCATCATAAACATCCATACCATTAATCTAAAACATAAATCATATTTCAAATCAATCATAAATACTGTAGAGTTGTAATGATTGGTACTATGTCAAGCCAACATAAGTTGTTCTAGCATTTGGACAGATTAGTTTATTTATTCTTTTAAAACTTAAAAATGCTGTGGTACAGCCGAGAGTGAGGATAGTCAACTCTCCTCCTCGAAATACTATCACGCGTATACAGCCACTCTCACAGAAGTCCTACTCACTGCATTCTAAAGACAGGGGTGTTTTTTACGTAAAGAGAATGTCCGATGCTTCAACCGGGTAGGTAGATACAGAGGATCCAACTAAGGTAGTTGGAAAACACTGATTACAGACCAATGTTGCACATGGGTCCTAGAATTCTGGGGGAATAAATGACGTATGAACAAATTATTGGTCACCGACCACCATGTGACTATATCTCCTGACGTTGCTTCACTGTCCTGGGTGTAGCCTCCTAAGAAAACCACCTGCGTCGGTTTGGGCATTCGGTCAGTGTCAGAGCCCATGCACAAATCAAGAGACTTGTGTGCCGCATATCTATTTGGTGCCGTTTTGAACCAATATTAATGTGTTCAAATAAATATATTTTGGCCTTGTCACTTATTTGCTTATTAACCTTGACTATATTTTATCATATATATACGCACCAATGTTGTGTTTTACTAGTCCGTTGTTGTGAACAAATTATTTCGATGAAATTGTAATGTGGCCACTGTACTGAGTGACTCAAAATTCTCGGCACAACATTTTAACTCTACATGGTTGGAAATAGTCAGGATGAAACTTTGAACTTTAGTTTTGTGTTCATTGGTCCCCACCTATTAGACTACTATTCGTATTACAATTTCGTTAATATAATCAGATTAATACTTAAGATCATACAGACATGATATTGAAGTTGATGACCCCAATAAGACTCAAACATGGCATCTTTCACTTCTAACTTCAACGCGTTGTGCAATGAGCCACTAAATTTGGTTTGTTCATAACTTGTGTTACGGATACAGGTTTTATACATTGTTAAGTCCCGGTAAGCATAATGAATGGTAACTTTTGGGATCCATTTATGGACCAATACTATACGTATATTTTGTCGTATAATTTTTATGTAACTGAACTATTCATATTCATGTCCCTCTTATCACAAGCTTTATTTTGATCTATGAACTATTATTATACGATTTACCATTCTTGAGTTATGTCCTGTCTATCAATTACTATCTCTAACATCCACAGACACTTTTGGCTAATTCTTGTACAAATGTTGTTTCCTATTTTATTGGTACGATTTGGTCTGTATGGTTGATATATAAACCCAGTATGCTTGAAATAAATGATTCATATTGTAGAGGCTGAGATTGGTGTTCTAGACTTAACTGGACGGGTTAGGACCAGTCAGGTTTCTAGACTGCTCGCACATGTTTTACGCGTCCTTGGTCCGATCGATAATCCACTGCTCTCTAATTGGCAGTCACAAGATATATTATGCATACAAGTTTATATTGATGTTGAAGAGAGCAGGATAGGATCAAACAAGTGACCTTGGTTACAGCGATAGACATTTAGCGACTGAAATAGAAAACATGTAACGATGTCACAATACCGAGGCAATTCACTCTGGATGTAATATGCCATTAGTGACTAACCAATCTCAATACTATACCATAATATTAACAACAGGAAAAACATATAACTCCATACAAATAACAAATCAGTCTGTTTTCTTGAGCCGTCATCCGGAAAATACAGGTGTTTATTAACAGATGTCTACGCAAAATACCTCGGATCCGTTGGCCGGGAACTATTGGCAACAACTTACTGTGTGAAAGAACAAACCACATTGCAGTGGAGGAAGAAATCAGGAAGAAGCGCTGGAAGTGGATAGGACACACATTGAGGAAAGCACCCAACTGTGTCACAAGACAAGCCCTCACATGGAATCCTCAAGGTCAAAGGGGAAGAGGAAGACGAAAGAACACATTACGCCGGGAGATGGAGATAGACATGAGTACAATGAACAAGAATCGGGTGGAACTAGAAAAGAAGGTCCAGGACAGAGTGGGTTGGAGAATGCTGGTCGGTGGCCTATGCCCCATTAGGAGTAACAGGTGTAAGCAAGTAAGTAGGTAAGTTATATATCATTCTTCAACTTCATATACCTTTCTTCCACATATTTATTCATATAAAAACAAATCAAAATTGTTGATGAATTCTAACTACCGCGAAATCTAGATTAAAGATCTACTCCTGATTGTGACCAACTCGCTGGAATGAAACTGGTCAGTTAGTTAGTTTAATAATTCATCAGTTAATTTCATTGAATAATATACCTCAAGTATATAATCGCCTGGTATAAGTCCAGCTTTTTCCGCCTTACTATTTCGTTGAACGCTCAAAATCCCTTGACTGGGTAAATTGTTAGCAATAAATGATCGTTCTTTAAAATCTATGTAAAAGAGAAAAAGAGGATATTTCAGTGGCTTACAAGTATTGAACTCATACCATGATCTAAAAATTACAGGTTCAACACTATGTAATGACGTAACTGGTAGGCACTGCTGATAGATCATATTACTAGAATAAATCAAATGTCTAGACTTCTCCAAGTTCTCGAAAATTCCTCATCTGATTTCAACTTATAATAAGAAATAATGACTTGACATACATGAGATTGATCACCATCCATTGATCAATCAATTGTAAATATATCTCAGCGTCTCTGACTGTGAAGCTAAGTGACACAGGATAAAATTCGTCAGGAAGCATCAGTACCCTCAAGGTTTCAGGTACACCTTGCTGATGAGTGCCAAGTAGCACGAAACCTAGGTCCAGGGTTTCCTGTTGAGTACCTCTAGCCACCAACTTATCTCAGCATATTGCGCAAAATGTCGAGTCACCTAGACTAGTGGCCACATAGCAACCTGGCCGATAGGATTCGATCTGTACTAAGAAGGACCTGACATACATCACATTGATCAATACCCAGTGATCAATCAATTGTAAATAAACTTTCACAAGAGATATTAGAATTTATGAGCATCTAGTTTATATAATATTAAGTGCAAGGATAGTTTAGTAGATTGCTAGTTCGAGCCCTAGTTCTCCTAATTTAATCTGATCAATTAGACTATACTACTAGCCTCCTTCCAACACACACACAAACAGAAAAAGTGTCATTTAAAGACATACGACATAACCTTGCATTCGCCAGGTGAATGATATTGGCTACTCATTATGAAGTAAGATTCTGTCCTATGAAACGTCAAAGATTCATAAACATCAAGTCACATAATGTCCAAAAGTCATTTTACCATTGAAATAGGATACCTGACTATATTCAGTAATAATATTTGCTATAGATGAGAAATGAATTGTTGGTAGGTTCGTGCGATAGGTAAATTGCTCCAAATGAATACTTTTTTGAAGAGTAATGTATGAAAACGGTAATTGAATAAGGACTGGACCTCGAAAGGAAATTTGGTTGGAGTTGTTCTTAGTGACCTGAAGGCGTGACCGCAGTACACAAAGGGATAACTGTTTTAGGCCGGTCACACACGATCATTCTGAAGGTAATTTTCGTGTTGGCTACGTACTTGTTGAAGTCTGACCACGTCAGACAGAAATCCGGTGGATACAGTGAAGTGTGCATTTTAAAGGGTCGACCATTTATAACCCCACACTTCTTTTTTCGGAATGCAGCATTGCTATCATACTGGTTATCAGAGGGCAACAGCTTACTATCGTCACACTTCTGTACAGTCAGTATTACAACTTTGTCTTTGGTCCTTGAGTTGACTGCTTTTAGTCTTACCATTCTTCAACTGATCTGTGTTGCATGGTAGGACCTTGACGAACGATTGCTCTAGCTAGTATAGCCCGATTGGTTCATCACGACAGGCAAGTTGGACCACCACGTCAAGATAGTTGCAACGGTCAGTGAAGTCACATTTATTGTTACAACAATAGACAACTTTATCACATTATTTGAATTAAAAGAAATTTGAGTCTGTATGTTTAGAATTTAAGGTAGAACACAAATTAATGATGATGATGCATACGGTAGAGGAAATCATCCATATAGCTTAATAATAGTCGGCCTTCAGAGCCATGATAAGATAGCAAAAGCTCTTTCAGCCTCGATCACGTAGTTGCAATATTGTTTGTGTGCACTCTGGTTGTTGTGTCCACAAAATACCGTTTATGGATAATGACACGATGCACATAACCAAGTAAATATAAGCATCTGTATACATTCTAATCATCTGTATATATTGCAGTACCCGGCTGTAGCCAGTGTTGCTAGTGCTTTTTTTATCCAGTCATAGTTTGACACAGTCTCGATCTGGATCGAGCAAAAAATCCTATTCTGGCAGACCTCCTCCTTTAACATATATTACATCGAAAGAAAACATTATTTCGGTAGACTGCACAAGGTCCACAAGTCATTTGATTACCACAATCACAAATAATGGAACTTTTTAGTAGTTTTAATTGTTGTAGCCACTCAATTATCACATTTTCTCTAAAAATCCACTATGAACCGATTGTACATGAGCATCAAGTACTGAAATTGGCTCTATGACTTTGAAACCCCTCAAACCCTTTTGATTGGTTCGTCCATATATTATAATCTTGCCCATACTTTCCAAAAGATTGTTAATATGAAATTAAAAACAAACAAACAAACAAACATTGTTTGCTTACTATCAGATCCTTGCATAATAAAACCGTAACCAGTTATTCCACGTTCCAAAATGATTGAACGTATACGATAGTTTGGATAACGTTGTCTAAAGTATTACAAAACAATAAGCAACTATATATTAGCGACACAAACTGGGAAACAATTAAAACAGTGAACTAATAATCATGACAATTACTATATTTCATACTATCTGATTGATTAGAATGAAGAATTCATAGTGTATTGTGATGAATTCTTGCCTTGTATCTACGGAACTTGTAAATGTTTTAGTAAATAAACAGGGAATGGTTGATATTCATCATTATTCTTGAGTAAATATTCTTATTGTTTACTAATAATATCAGTTAAAGTAAAGTTTTAACATGGTTTTGAATTTTTTAGTGAATCAAATACATCATACTGTTAGTAATGATGGATCCGAACTAATAAAGTTTGTATTTGTTCATCAATTTGATGATATTAATTCAATCAGCATGGATTCAGAAGGCGAGATATCCATTTATCAATTAAGGGATGAGTATACTACACGGTAGTTCGTTCTATTCTACTTTACGGCTGAGAAACTTGGCCATTAAGAGTAGAAGATACTTGTAAGCTACTAGTATTTGATCACAGGTGTTTTCGGAATATTGCTTGCATGTATTGGGATCACCGGGTAAGTAATAGTGAAGTTAGATGCTGGGTATTAGGGAATGATGGCAAATCAGTTGATGAGGTTGTAAATCTTCGTCGACTCAGATGGTTAGGCCACCTGTTACGTATGTCTGAACATCGATTACTACGACGCGTAATGCTAATTAGTGTTGGAGATGGTTGAATGAAAGTTAGAGGCGGTGAAACCAAAACGTAGCATCAGTGTTTGAAGTCACTTACTTCTAGTCTGAGCCATGTTGACAGATGCAGACTACTTGGTTGGGGTCTGCGTCCCTATCGTAATCAGTGGTTGGAGACTGTGGGTGACATGGCTGAGAATCGATCACAACAACGTAGGTGTTTAGACTCTCTGTCTTCCTTTAAACTATGAGATTGAAATCACTTCATGTCTTTCTTACTTCGAGCTAATTTTTACTTCCTGTACTGTATCCTCATATGCAATCTTTCTTTAATATATTATTACAACTGAATTACCTACTTCAATGAATTTTGTGTTCATCTTGTTGTGGTAATGTGGTATGGCAACTTGGACCGATGGGTATATGTGCCTGGTCCTAAGTTGTAGCTGTCTGACTATTACTACAATCAATTCATGAAACAACAAATTCTTATTTAATGTCATTGATATCATTGACTGTTTCAATTTTGACATTATTAGCATGAGAAATGAACTGAAAAGTTCTAGTATATTTAACATTAAAAGGGCAATGAAATAATGGATAATGAGATGGCGTTTGAAGCGAACGGTACTATATTCGAGTCCCGAAGTGGACGACAAATCTGAGATGCAGGTACATCCAGCTGACGAGTCCTAAATACAATGAAGTGGATTCTACTGCTAGTTACTATCTATCTTTGCTTACAACTATTTAAATATATAAATTCCAATGAATGTCCGATTATGATAAAACTTGAGAAGTGCTAGTTTATAATCAATCACTAGTGCCAACAAACAACTAATCTTCAGAAGTTATTATTCCCTACAATCACCATATACAAATGAGAGTTCATTTTTGATGATGTTTTGTTCTGTGAGCTGGATAGTTTGATTATGGAGCTTTCATCGTTCTTCTGAACAACATCATCAGTAAAAACGTCAGGAAAACTTCATTTCTACTTGAAATTTGTGCTGATGATCTTGTTCAAAAGAACGATGAAAACTCAATGATCTAGCCATCCAACTCACACAACAAAACTCCATCAAAATCATCCACCTGATCTACAAATCTTCTCCACCATCTCAAGAGTTCATTTCTTATTCAATGAAGCATTTTAAATATATATTAATATATACCCGAGCTCCCAATTTCGGGGAAGCCGCTATAGTAAACTTCGGGGAAATGGCACTAAAACCCCGAAATTTCCCCAGACTTGGGGAAATTCCCCAATATCTCCCCAAAATTCCCCTTTAACCTTGGTCAATTTCATTTAATTTTAGAGATTTCCCCGAAATTTCCAAAACGTTGCTGAAGGTCATTTGACTTCGGGAGTTTCCCCAAAATACCCCGAAATTTCCCAAAATTTCCCCAAACTTGGGAACTGGGGTATATGAATGATGAAAAAAATCATAATACTACTACTTGTAGTAACAATAATAGCAGTAGAATACTACCTTAGGAAATTTAATCGTCGAGGAAATTTGGGAATATCTACAATAAATCAATAAAAAGAAAAAGAAAAAATTTCAGATTCACCCTGATATTAATAATAATCTTCACAGATTGAAATCATGAGTCAGTTGAAGCTAGACCACCATTGAAAACCTGGAAGCACTGGACGGCCGTTTCGTCTTAGTACGGGACTCTTCAGCAGTGCGCATCCACGATCCCTCACCCAGCGGGATTCGAGCCCAGGACCTACTGGCTTCGCGCGCGAGCACTTAGACCGTCTAACTTTAATTAATGCTCGACGTTGCGGGGTGCGGGGTGCAGGATCATGGATGCGCACTGCTGAGGAGTCCCATACTAGGACGAAACGGCCGTCCAGTGCTTCCAGGTTTTCAATGGTGGTCTAGCTTCAACTGACTCATGATTTCAATCTGTGAAAATTTCTAAAATCTCCACAAACCCCTTCTGATATTAATAATAATAATCATAATTTTGATTGTGTCAATTATAAAACTTTCATTTTTCATTCTAGTCTAAGACACTAATTAACAATGTTCATATGATATAAATCAAAGATCAAATTCAGAGTCTTCCTACTCTCATATTGTATGATAATTACAAACTAACACTTTAAGTTGTTATCTAATAAATTCATATTCAACATTAATTGTTTCAAGATAGTGAGGAACTGATTTAATTACTTATGTCTATTACGCCCAATAGAGGAGCATAGACTGCCGATCAAAATTCTACAACCCACTCCTTACTGGACCTTCCTTTATATTTCTATTCAAATGTTCTTCATTCTTCTTCCTACATCACTCTCCATTTCTCTGTGTAATGATTTATTTCGTCTTCCTCTTCCCTTTGTCATTAAGGATTCCATGTGAGGGCTTGTCTTGTGACACAGCTGAGTGTTTTTCTCAATCTGTGTCCTATCCACTTCCAACTCTTTTTCGATCTCATTTCTTTCTCCGCTGCAATATGGTTTATTCTCTCACACATTAGGTTGTTACTGATAGTGTCTGACCAACGGATACGAAATATTTTGCGTGAACAACTGTTAATCAACACTTGTATCTTCCAGATGATGGCTTTCGTAGTTTTCCAAGTTTCCGCCACATACAGTTGAACTGCCTTGACATTTGTATTGAAAATTCTGATTTCGGTGTTGGTTGACAGAGAGTTGTTTCGAGTTGCAGATGTTCTTCAGTTGTAAATATGCTGTTCTAGCTTTGCCGATCCACGCCTTCACATCTGCATCAGATCCACCGTGTTCATCCTTTATGCCACCCAGATATGTAAAGTATTTTACATCCTCCAAATCTTCTCCATCGATTGTGATTGGATTGGTGCATGTTTTGCTTTGTTGGAGAATATTACTTTTCCCTTTGTGTATGTTGAGACCTAGTGCTGCTGAGGCTGTTGCTACACTGGTCGTCTTCTTCTACATTTGTTGTTGCGTGTGCGATAGAAGAGCCATATCATCTGCGAAGTCCAGATCATCCATTTGCATCGTAGCTGTTCACTGTATTCTATGCTTCCGCCGAGATGTTGACGTCTTCATAATGCAGTCGATCACCAGGGGAAATAGAGAGGGTGAGAGTAAGCAACCTTACCTGACACCGGTCTTTACTTCGTAGCTTTAAGGTAATTTGTTAATTTTGACCATCTATATATATATTCAGGACTCTTCTTATACAGACAGAAACGGACCAATCCAACTCATGTTAATAAGTGAAATGGTTTTTATAAACATTCGTTACAATGGTATAGCAACTGTCGAATCAACCATATCCACGTATCATAGATGAATTTCATTTATAAATCTTGATAGTAACAATGTGGTCAGCAAATGTGAAAATATTATGCATAGATTTTATAAGAAGTCAGTGTATTCTACCAAAAATATATAATTGTTAAGTTTATCAAAGTTTTCAATAGTTAAGATCGTGGAACGATTGAGACTGAACCACCATGGAAAACCTGGAAGAACCACAATCCTGCCTCGCCAGAATCGAAGTCAGGACCTACTGGTCTCGCGAACGAACGCTTAATCCCTAGACTACTGAGCTGACATTCACTGGTGTTAATATCTAACTTCAAACTTCGCGCTTACTCACTGCTGAGAAGTCCTTCAAAATAGGATGAACAAAATAAGATTTAATAATCGGTTTCTGTAATGGTTGGATATTAAGCGGTGAAACATTAGACACCTTGAATCGTTGAACAGCTGTTTCATTTTAGTAATAAGATCTCCTACACAACCCTAACAGAGATAGACTTACTTACTTACGCTTTTTACTTCTCATGAAGGAGCATATGCCGCCCACCAGCATTTTCCATCCAACCCTGTCCTGGGCAATCCTTTCCAGTTATTTCCAGTTGTGATTCATCCTTTTCTTATCTGATTCTATTTCCCGAGGTAATGTGTTCCTTGACCTTCGTCTTTTCCGCTTACCTTCACGATTCCAAGTTAGGGCTTGTCTCGTGATGCAGTTTGACGATTTGCGTAATGTATGTCCAATACATTTCCATCTTCTTTTCCTAATTTCCTCTTCAGCTGAAATCTGGTTTGTTCTCTCTCACAAAAGGCTGTTGCTGATGGTATCTGGTCAATGGATGTTGAGTATCTTAAGCAGACAGCTATTTGTAAATACTTGTACGTTCTTGATGATGATTGTAGTAGTTCTCCAAGTTTCAGCTCCGTACAGTAGAACTGCCTTGACGTTCGTATTGAAAATTCTCACTTTGATATTGGTTGAAAGTTGTTTTGAGTTCCATATGTTTTTCGATTGTACGAATGCGATCCTTGCTTTTTCAATCGTCGCCTTTACGTCTGCACCCGATCCTCCTTGTTCATTGATGATGCTTCCCGGGTACGTGAAAGATTCCATATCTTTCAGACTTTCGCCATTAAGTGTGATTGGATTAATGTTCTCGTTTTGTATTTGAGGATCTTGGTTTTCCCCTTGTGTATGTTGAGGTCTACTGATGCAGAGACTGCTGCTACACTGGCTGCCTTTTCCTGCATTTGTTCTTATGTATGGGATAGGAGGGCTAGGTCATCTGCAAAGTCCAAATCGTCTAATTGGTTCTGAGCTGTCCATTGTATTCCATGTTTTCCCGCAGATGTCAAGGTATTCATAATCATGTCGATCACCAGAAGAAAGAGGAAGGAGGAAAGTAGACAGCCTTTTCTGACTGTGGTCCTTACTTGGAATGCATCTGTCATCTGTCCTTCATGAACTACTTTGCACTAACAGAGAAAGAACTTAGGGTTATTAAGTTTTATGTTCTAAAGATCTCGATGGAAATAAAGATTGTTTACAATAGATTTAAAGCTAACTATCGGTTATATTTATGTCTGAGACGAATCATCATATGTAAATCTCATTACTAAAAGTGTAATTTTATACATTATACTACTTACCTTGTGAATTATTATCATTATAAATCGTTCCTCCACAATTATCATTATCATTACTATATGTCATTTGTCGTCGAATAGGTAATAATGGTCTGTTATTATTCATAGTAGTTTCATTTTTATCAAGATTATTACGTCTAACTATATCTGGTGTTCGAGATTCAATTTTATTATTATGAAATACATATTGATTGATTCGTTTTGGTGTAAGTTGTTTTAAATCATTCATGTCAAATGATAAACATCTTTGATAAGGAGTTGGAGGTAATTCTCTGTCTACTGACATTGGTTTACTTGGTTTACGAGTACTTATTGTATTACCATTATTATTATTGTTATTATTATTACTGTTACTATGGTTACTATTATGATTATATTGAAGTAAGTGAACACTGTCATACACTGCTCTTGGTCCATGAATTGTTGGTCGTCTATCTTTATTGTATACAGGTTTTTGATCAATTCCCTCTAGGTAAATAGACAAATCAGGTATTAAAAAAAACAGGAAGAAATTGAAAATAGAAACGATAATAAATAGGAGTAGGACATCTGATGATCGTTTTTATACGTTAGATTGAATCGAATAGAGAAAGAGAATGAAATTTCCAAAACTATTCTATAGTAAATTATTATTTATGTATCAGGAGGGTTTTTTGTGGATGTTATAGTAATTTCAGTCGTTGAGATCATGAATCGATTGAAGCTAGACGATCATGGAAAACCTAGAAGCACTGGACTGCTGTTTGATCCTACAGTGGGCCTCTTCCTCCTACGATCGCGCCCCACGATACTTTAACCCATGACCTATCAGTGTCGCGCGTAAACGCTTAACCTCTTGACCACTGACTCGGTTAATATCCAATGGTGTTAATGTCTAACTTCAATGAATCCACGAAATCAAGCGACACATCCACTATTGTTTTCAGTGAGTTACTAGCTCATCCTATTGTGGGACTCCTCAATTGTGCTCATTCACTATCCTGCCTCACGAGATTTTCCATAATGATCTAGATACAACTGACTCATGATCTCGACTATTAAAGCTATTATTTATGTATTTTATTATGTAACAATTTAGAAGATTTTGTGATTTGTGTTTAATAGTTACTATGTCACTAAAAAAATTTGAAAGTTGTTGATGAGATAGGAAACAAGTAAACAAGTTACTAACGGACTCTAACATCAAATAAATTGATCATCCGTGAAATGATAAAGAACTGAATATGTACCAAAGACAATTAACATATAGATATATATGTATCTTCCATGTTAGATATGACATTCAACTACTTGTATTCGGAGAATTATTTAAGAATACTAAGTGTGTTATATCCGGTGAAGATTAAACCACAGGTAAATTCCAAGGACTACTAATGGACTAATATTCTATAAATATTCTTATTGTATAACTACTCAACAATTACACTATGTATATTTATATTCCTTTTATGATAAGCTTTATTTTGATCTATAATTTATTATTGTACGATTTACGGTTCTTAAGTTATGTTCAGTTTATTAACTATTGCCTCCCACATTCACAGCCACTTTTTGGCTTATTTGTGTACAAATATTATTTCCTATTTTATGGTACGTTGCGGTCTGTGTGATTGATATATAAACCAAGTATGCCTGAAATAAACGATCTGCTCTGATTCGGAAGCTGGTATTTTGTTCTGGACTCAAGTGGAAGGGCTCGTAGGACATAGGACCAATAAGGACGCTAAACTGCCCACACCGGTTGAACGTCATTGGTTGGCCTAGTGTGAAGATTCGTATAAGTCGTATTCGGATTGGTAGATAAGTCGTGTGATCGAAAAGTCAGACATCCAAGGTCATAACAAAGTGAGTTTATTGTTTTGTATCACAGTTTTTCTTTGTTTAAAGGCAAATAGTGCTTCATGAAAATTCTCATTCATATGATTCCATGGTATGGAATATCTAGAGTTCTTAGATTTTTGTATATAACATTTTAGGTCGTTCTAAAATTATACCATTTATTCCCTCAGAATCATGAAGTCCTTGTTCACCACTAGTTTGGAATCAAGGTGTTTTCAATTTTCTTGCGTGAGTCGTTCATATCCACCAACTGTGTTAGAGCATTAGATATTTGCTTGTCATTCACTTAATTTTGTAAACAACATCCTCATCGCAAGAAGGCAGTGAATAAGACTTCGTTGGCAGTGGCAGTATACTTGAGTTCATGTGAAAGCATTTCGATAGAGAGATCACTCTTCCCACCATTGGCCGTACTAGTGTATTTATGGGCGAACACTTATTTAGTTTTTTAAGTACATACTGCAGAATATGTGGTCTGAATGGAAGCATACTCTTTATAGATGTAATCGTTGAACACTCACTGAAGAGTGAACCTGAAGTAAGAAACCTTGATTTATTCAAAATACTTAATTAGTAATAATTACTACTTTTATTCGGCTAAACAGAAGCCATTAACAATGAGTCCTTCTAAGATGATTTATGTGTATGAGATAAAAGCATGATAAACTTCTTTTCTGATATAATAGAGTTTATTATAAGCAAACAATTTCACTTCACTTGGTGTTGTTTGCTTGTATCTTCCCATTGTTATTTAGGACTACAATTGATCAATCATTTATTGGTTTATGTGTATATTGTGGGTATAGCCTCGATATTGCCTGAAGTCACAAGCTTTATAGAATCAAAGATGGATAGTGGTTAGTAGTGGAATCCAGGACGTACACCACTTCGTCCTATTTGGAACTCGTCAGCTGAATATACCTGTATCTCAGAGTTAATGTTCACTTATTACGCAATATAATCATTTACCAATTCACTGACATTTATTAATGAAGTTATTTGCATTATACTTATATTGACTGCTGATGTGACCATTAATAATTATGAATAGTAATAATTATAACCCCTTTCCGTCCCCCCCCCAAATAGTTTATTTTCAATATAAAATATGCGTCAATTTCAATGAATTACAATTTACACCTTAATTTATATCGTTTCCATTTCAATTTCCTTGAATGAATTATATTAACTCATTGTTTGTTATCAGTAAAGATGTTAGCAGTTTGTAGTTGTAGTGAACGTGAACACTAAATAGGGACAATCAAATGTATTTGAATACCATATTACAGAATATCTTAATAACATCTAAGAACTATACAATAAATACTTCATTTGTAAAATGTTCATTAATTATCTCAGACTAAACTATTCATATAGTTGAGTTCTGGCATATCTAGAAGGTTGTACTTGATATACTGCGTATAACGTGAGCACTAGAACGCCAGAACCTTCCAAGTTGCAATAAGAAGATGGAAGACTAATGAAAGGAATATTATTCCCAGACAGTGTTAATTATAGTAGAAAGTTATCAGGTATTTATAGTCCTCCAATCCGCATACAGGCGGTTATTAGTATTGTCCATTCGGGAAGCTACATGTAGGAATTCTAGAATATTCTTCTTGACGGTGATTGGATGGAATATCTTCGGATCATTCTGAGCCTCCTACAGCTCCCTAGAGTTCATCCGTGGTCCGTCGTCACATGTTCTTTACTCCTCGATCATCGTGACCTTCTGTTGCCAGTTATTCTATTCCTGTCTAGCGCTACATACTACTTCTATCGATATAAGTAGCACACACACCACGTAGTCACCATATAAGATTCTTGTAGATTGATTGATTAGATTGATTAGATTATTTTATTCCACAGGAAACTTATTGCTCTTACTTCGTACAAAGTTTGATTTCATTTTTGTATTGTGAAGCTGAATAAATTTTAGTATCAATAGATGTTTTGTGGATATTCTAGTAATTTTAATGGTTGAGAACATGAGTCAATTAAAACTAGACAATCATAGTAAACCTCGAAGCACTGTACAACCGTTTCATCCTATTTTAGGACTCCCGAACGATGCGCATCTCAATAATCTTGCCTAGCGAGATGTCGAACCCAGAACGTAATGATCTCACACGTGAACGCTTAACCACTAGACCATGGAGCCGGTGCTTTGAAGTTTGCCTTATCAACAAGATGTACCTAGAATTTGCATAAAATTAATACATTTCAATAATATTACTTATTTATAAACTACTTACCAACTAAATGTTCATCAAAATTTTGTAAAATATTTGCTAAATTCATCCGTTCAATAAGTATAGCTAATTCATATGGAGTTTGTCCGGATAAATTAATTAATGTTGGTGATGCACCATAACGTAATAATAAATTTAAACAATCCATTTCATCAGCTAATACACATAAATGTAATGGTGTATTATGATTTTCAACTTGTGCATTTAAATCAGCTCCATAAATGATTAATTGTTTTAATGTTTTACTACGACCATTTAAACAAGCCTTGTAAAGTAAAACAAACAAAATAATATCAGAAGGAGTTTTGTCGAGATTGTAGTAATTTCAACAGTTGAGATTATGAGTCAATTGAAGTTAGACCAAGATGGAAAACCTGGAAACACTGGACGGCCGTTTCATGGTTTTCCATGATGGTCTAGCTTCAATTGACTCATAATCTCAACTGTTGAAACAAAATGATGAAATTTGATGGGTTATGTGAACAAAATCGAAACCTTTTTATAAAAAAGACGTTTATCTAAATACATTTCAGTATTATATATATTCATCAGAAGGGGATTGTAATGTCTGTTTTACTTTATGTTCTTATTCACGCCTGTTCTACTCTTTTGCATATTGTTTCATACTACTTATTATTATTCAGTAAATAGTTGTATAATCAGTAATATTTAAACTTTTTGTTGTAACTCATATCTGAAATGTTTATATGTACTTATAACACTTATTGTATTTATCATTATAATTACTTTATCTCAATCACCACAGCAGTTATCTACAGTTTTGTGTATTTGTTTAAACGCAAGAGGTCCCATACTGTTTTGCTGTTTGTTCGGGTTTTACTTGTTGATAAACTGTTATCAAGTTTAAACACAACTATCAACTGCCCTTTACAATATCGAAACCCTTTTTATTTCATACAAAAGGACGCGTGAAACGCCATAGACACCTCGTTAGTTGAAAACCGCTATTTTAGATAAATCGTTGTTTTGCGAACTTCGGATTTGCGCGTATCTCAACCCTTCGATATACCTAACAAGGTGGATATTATAGTAGTTTTAATAGTTGAATTTATGAGTCAATGGTGGACGGTGGCGCAACTTCATTGATTGATTGAAGTTGAACAATAACATCATTGGATGCCTTGTATAAGCAAGTGGCTATCAGCACTCCGTATCTAAGTGGGTAATGAGATGGCGTTTGAAGCAAATGGTAACGAGTTCGAGTTTCGGAGTGAATATCAATTCTGAGATACACGAACATCCAGTTGAAGACCCTGAAATTTGACGAAACAGGCACCCTGGATCCCACTGTTAGCCACTATCCATCTTTGCTTATAATGATCATAAGGTTGATTTGAGATAACTGTTTTGCTTAAGAAATTTGATTTCTTCAGTAAACTACATATACGTTAGTGTAGAGATAATGAATTTCAATAGTAATTTACGAATAAAAGGAAAGGTAAAGAACTATTCAATCAACGCGTTTAATTTGCATGACATCAATGAATTAGATAAAGAAATATTAATAAAACAGATTTTGATGGAGTTTTGTTCTCTGAGCTGGATGGTTTGGTCGTGGAGCTTTCATCATCTTCTTCTGAACGACATCATCATCATCAGCAGCAGCACAAACTTCCGGTAGAACAAATACATATATTGTGGTAGATTTAAAACTACATGAGATACATTTGTATTCAAGGCTAGTTAAACATATTCATTGAATTGGTTGAAGTTATTTGTAACGTTTTCATATTCAGTACGTTTCAATTACTTTTTCATTGATTTAATAAGTGAATGGTACATATTGTAGTGTAAATTTTATGAAAGCTTACAGTTAAAGCCTTGTAGCTATGCTAGATTTGTTGGATATGTCCGTAAAAGACAGATGCTAACAAATATGTTTATTAAACTCATTTAAAGTTCAATACTACTAATCTGGTACAATGTTTATGGCCACGTGTTGCGTATGTCTGAACACCGATTACTACGAAGTGCAATGCTAACCAGTGTTGGAGATGGTTGGAAGAAAGTAACGTGGCATCAGTGATTGAGCCATGTTGACAGACACAGACTACTTGGTTGGGGTCCGCGTGACTATCTTAACCAGTGGTTGGAGACTCTTGGTGAAATGGATCAAAATCGATCACAATGGTGTAGGTGTATACACCCTCTGTCTTCCTTTAAACTAAGAGATTAAAATCACTTCATATCTTTCTTTCTACGAACTAATTCTTTCTTCCTGTATTATACTTTCATATGCAATCTTTCTTCTATATATTACCCCATTGAAGTAACCACGTCTATGAATCGAGTGTTCATCTTGCTGTGCTAATGAGGTATGGCAACTTGGACCGATGTATATATGTGTCTGGTTCTACGTTGTAGCTGACTGACTGACGTTATGGTAGATAAATGTTTCAATTCTAAAGTTTCAAATACAAATTCAGAGCTGTTAAGTCAATCATAAAGATGATTCTTATTTGAATCCAGGAAAATAATCACTACTGGAATCCAGGTACAATTAACGGATGAATTTGTAATAGAATTTTAGTGACCCGTGATCTGATTTCAATTAGATCATATGTTGATCGTTACTGAATGATTGCTATCGAAATATATATGTCACTCATCCTCGTATATAATTATTGAATTAACTTGCATTAGTGAATATGAGAAAGGATTTCAATTACGTACATTTTGTACAATCATTGATCTAGGCAGACGGTCAAAGAAACAAGGCGAAATGAAATGATACACGGTGGAGAAGGCATGTGAACCAACTCCATTTAGCAAGAGTTGATCAATTTGTATAGTCAGATAAAAATAAATTACAGAGATGCGGTGGGTAAGATAGGAAGTGTACACACACATATAGTTAAGGTTGATAAGTGTATAATTAACAAGGTCAAAACATGACTCAAGAAGAATGGATAAACTGACCTATCTAGAAGCTAGAATAAGGTATATGGGCTTAACATAGCAACAGACACTACAGGATTAAGCACATCTTCTGGATTCCTAACAAGCTTTGTCACCGTAAACATCAATCCGCTGATATATTGAATCCTTCATTTAGACTTACCTTATTTATTTATTATATTCATTTAAACACATAAATATTGGTACAAGGAAGCGCCAAACAGATATGAGCCACATAAATCATTCGATTTGTGTGAGGGCTGAGATACTGCCCGGGTGCTTAAACCGAAGCAGGTGGTTTTCTTAGGGGGGCACACCTTCAGCCTTTGATCTAAAAGTCCGATCCACATGGTAATGGACAAAAGTCAGGAGATACAGTCCCATGGTAACCGGCCACCGACAATTGGTTCATACGCCATTCGTCCCCTCAGGACCCTGGAGCCCATGTGCACCATTGGTTTGGAATCAGGTTTTTCAAATCCCCTAAGTGGAACCTCCATATCCACCAACTTAGTTAAATCTCCACACATTGACTTTTAGCCCTCTCAATTTCGTAAAGAACACTCCTGACTCTAGGAGGCAGTGAGTAAAACTTTCCTGTCAGTGGTTGTATGCACGTGGCCATGTGAAAGCAATTCGAGAAGGAGAGCTGACTCTTCTCACTCTCGGCTGTACTAGAGCATTTAGAAGCTAGACTTATTTGCTCAACGATTATTGGCATTCTAATTATAAACTTAGTGGTTTTCGAAGCAATACATATAGGTTTCAAGTTTCAATACTGATCCAGTTACATTTAACTGGTGAATTTCAAATCAAATACAATATACTTCCTAAATTCCATCACAATTTGAAATGAAGTAAACTTAACCAATTGTATCGTTTAACATTTAAAAAAAAAATAATCTAAATCTTTCGAATTCATATAATAATGAACTTACTTGATGAATTTCTTGTCTACCTTTATCATCGGTTACACCAAGTATAGCATGATCAAATAATAAACGTTGTATACATTCTGGTTGAATATCTTCTGAACAAGCATAATATAATGGTGTTAAATTATTTTTATCACGTACATTAGGATTTTGTCCCAATTCTAAAAATACCTTAATTATGAAAGAATAAGGAAAAAAAATAATCCTTTTTTGATTAGTTAAAGTGTCAAACTATTTGTTCTTGTTATCAATTGTGGGCTTTATGACCCTATCACCGTATATCATGTGATGATACCTTCAATTAGAGAATTGTGATTTATCAACCGGACCAATAATATGTAAAACCAATGCTAGCAGTCTAGAGTCTTTATCGGTCCTTCTTCCTGACTAGCTATGCCTGCCTGTTAGAGTCTAGAATACCAAATTCAACCTCTGAGATATGAATCATTATATTTCAAACATACTGAGGTTTATATACCAACCAAAGAGACCACATCACACCATATAGTAGGGAACAACATTTGTACAAATTCTAGCCAAAAGTGGTTGTGAATGTGAGTGATAGTAATTGATAGACTGACTATGATTCAAGAATGGTAAGTCGTATAATAACAGTTCATAGATCAAAATAAAGCTTATAATAAGAGGAACATGTATATGCATAGTTTAGCTACAATAAAGAAACATGTATATTATTAGTCCAAAAATAGACTGCAACAGTTACCATTCATTATTCCCATCGGAATATAACATTTTTCAGTAGTATAATCAAATTGTGTTAAAATTAAACCGAAAAACATTTATCAATTATCTTATAAGAAAATAATGATAATAAGTGTCAACCAAACGCTTTAAATAGAAGTTTCATACCATGAGTGAAATAGTTTTCCAATGTGTTTTTACATTTCACAAAGATTCTCCAGTTGATAACAGCTGGAAATGGAAATCATTTACAAAAGAAAAAACCTAACCTGGAATAACATTGAATTTATTAGTTGAATTCACGAGTCCATTGAAGATAGACCACCATGGAAAACCTGGAAGCACTGAACGGCTGTTTCATCTTAGTATGAGATTCTTAAGCAGTGCGCATCCACGATCCCGCCTCACCAGATTCGAACCCAGGACCTATCAGTCTCGTAAGAGCATGCCTAACCTCCAGACTACTGAACCGGGCGGCATCCAACAATGTTAATGTCTAACCTGAACCAATCCACAAAGTTGCACCTCCGTCCACCATTGTCATCAATGAGCCAGAAATGTGATATGTGCTACTGAATTTGACAAATATAGGTAATATGTACCATCAATATAAATCAAGAGCAGAAAAGCAGCAGGACCAGACAACATTCCAGCAGAAGCACTGAAAGCAAACGTAGCAAAGATACTCCACATTCTCTTCAGTAAGATTTGAGATGAAAAACAAATACCAATAGACTGTAAAGGAGGACACCTGATCAACGTATCAAAAAAGAGGATCTTAGCACATGTGAGAACTACAGGGGCATCACTCTTCTCTCAATATCAGGAAAAGTCTTCAACAAGGTACTGTTAAAGAAAATAAAAGACTCCGTAGACGCTCAACTTCAAGATCAACAGGCTGGATTCTGTAGGGTTTGTCGAGTACAGACAGAATCGCAACACTACGGAACATTGTGGAACAATCAATTTAATCGAATTCATCACTCTACGTCAACTTCATTGACTACGAGAAAGCATTTGACAGCGTAGATAGGATAACTCTATGGAAGCTTCTTCTGCACTACAGCGTGCCCGAGAAGATGGTCAATATCATACGGAATTTCTGTGATGGATTAAACTGTAAAATCGTGCATGGAGGACAGTTGACATACTTGTTCGAAGAAAAGACCGGTGTCAGGCAAGGTTGCTTACTCTTATCCTTTGTCTTCCTCTTGTTGATCGACTGGATTATGAAAACGTCAGAATTTTCAATACAAATATCAAGACAGTTCTATTGTATGGAGCAGAAACTTGAACAACTATGAAAACCCATCATCCAGAAGAGACAAGTGTTGATTAACAGTTATCTACGCAAAATACTTCGGATACGTTGGTCAGCAACAACCTACTGTGGAAGAGAACAAACCACATTACAGTAGAGGAAGAAATGAAAAAGAGGAAATGGAAGTGGATTGGACACAAATTGTGGAAAACACCCAGCTGTGTCACAAGACAAGCACTCACATGGAATCCTCAATGACAAAGGGGAAGATGAAAACGAAAGAACACATTACATTGAGAAATGGGGAGTGACATATGACGAAGAATGAAGAACATTTGGATAGAACTCTAAAGGAAGGTCCAGTAGAGAGTGGATTGTAGAATGTTGATCAGCAGTCTATGCTCCTCTATCGGGAGTAACAAGCGTAAGTAAGTAATGTATCATCAACCAAAAGTGAAATGCCTGGTGGCAAAAGGTTAAAATAATTGAAGAAAAGAAAACGAAAACACACATTGATTGGTATGGAAATGTAGAAACAATCAAGTCGGAGATGATTCATTGATATTTTACAAATGAATTATTTACTGTATGATTCTCAGATTATACTAAGATGTTATGTAATTTTGTTCCCCCACACTTATGTTCTCATTCATTACCATGTTAATTGATCATATTTCATATTTATTTAGAAAAAGAACCAATTAATGACAATCATTACAATTTACCTCAATAGCTTTTAAATTTCCATTGATTGCAGCTCTATGTAATGCAGTCATTGTATTTGAATCACGATAATCTAAATGTGCTCCAGCATTAACAAGTTGTAATATCATTTCACGTGGATCAGTCAATTCTGCTGCACAACCTAATGGGATTACTGAAAATAACAAATGAAATCATATTTATTTATAAGAATAATTATAGTTTGATGAAAGTTACTGACACACACCCACTCACCCTTAATTATATAAATGGTATATGAACAATACAGTGTATTCTAATTATTGCCCTGTTAATTACCATTTGAATAAATCGTCAATCAGAACACCAACTTATTCGATCTTGGCACTGAGTAAAATCCAATGACGTGTTAATCAACACAAGCAACCTTGTGTCAACTCTAAGTCCTTATTGGTTCTTATTGCTTTGAATCTAGAATACAACCTCAGCTTCCATTGTATGAACCACTTTTCTGTTCATTTACTAAGTGATTGTTACATAGAATAGTGTGAATTTTCATAGAAGATTTCATCCGAGATTTTGAACTGCTATTCACAATAAAACATTCATGATAATTCTAAATGCTTGAAATGTAACTGTTAGTAGAAGTCATACTGTAGTGAAGGAGAACACATATGAAGACAACCGAATTATACTTAGCACAACATTACAGAGTTACTTGGTAAAATAGAAAAACTATACTATAATAATTGATTTGCGAAATGTTCAATAATTGTCTCGAACTTCATTGTTCTTACATTTCCATACGAATTGCTTTCTATTCGCGATCATCCTTTCTTGATCTTCCCTCATCTTCTGCTGCCAGACATTACATTCCTGACACGAGTCATATACTACTTATATCAATATAAGTAGCATGAATCACAATATGACAGAGGTTATATACCCGTTTTTCAACAGTTACCACTCATTATTCTCATCAGGATGTAATAGAGATCTTTAGATAGTTGAAATATCCAGTAAAAATTACATCCAATCAATGAACGAAAAAAATGCTTTGAAATTCTGGATCCTGAATAATTATTAACAATTGAAGAACTGGTGGATAAACTCATATAATTGTCATTCAAGTGTTTAACACTCATTCAATAAATGAATGGAAAATGTGATGGAACATTTTCGGGGTGTAACATGTTTATTTAACATTGAAAACTTTGATAATGATAACTGAACATTAAATCTATTTGACTTTATAAGTCAATTCATTCAACATCAAATAATTACCATTGAGTAATGAATAGAAACGAATAGTCCTATTGCTTCAATTCATTTATGAAAAATTTTAAAAAAAAAACATGGTTTTTCAGTAGTATAAACACTTAACACTAAAAAAGGAAATCTTTATTATATTATACAAATAAGACACTGGTGAGACTATCATTTATGGACGATCTTTGAGCGATGCTGAAGTGACCTTGAGAGTGAACAATTACTTATTAGTAGAAGGGGTTTTGTGGAGATTTTTAGAAATTTTAACAGATTGAAATCATGAGTCAATTGAAGCTAGACCATCATGGAAAACCTAGAAGCACTGGACGGCCGTTTCGTCCTAGCATGGGACTCGTCAGCAGTGCATATCCACCACTAATTTAGGACTTAATGAAGGTTATAAAGCAGTTAGAATTCCCATTTACAGTTGATGGTGAGGGTTAAACATTAGATTTAGGTATTTCATCAGCTATAATGTCAAAACTCTATTTAGACAAATGTATATGTGAATTCTGCGCCCAAATTCATGTCTCGTTATCTTATATCAGATTGGTTCGTCCATAAATTATAATCTTGCCAAAACACTCTTAAAAGATATATCACATAGGAATTTAACTTAAGAGTCTACTGAATATGATCTATTATTATTAGTAGTAAGTAAATCGAAATGATTTGCCATTTCATTAGTTTCATCATTTTCTTTGTTTTGTTATTGTTGTTGATGACATTTAAAACTAGACCTATAAACTAAATCTCTTTCACATTTACAAGCTTATCCAAGATTTCGCATTGAAAACATTCTATGAAATGTTGAATGTTCATGATACATAACGCCATTTAGATTTATGTACATTCAATGAATGAGTTCCAAATATGAAGAGAAAAACAAAAACATGGTAAGGTTGAACATCTAAACTCACATATATATGTAAAATAAATGAAATATATTACTTATCAAAGAATATATTACCTCCACTAGATGGATATTGAAAATTTGGATCTAAACCTTGTTCTAATAAATCTGTAACACGTCCAATATCATTACGTTTTATAGCAGATAATAAGCGTTTTTGATGATGCTTTAACAAAAAATAAAACATAAGATAGATAGATAGATAGATAGATAGATAGATAGATAGATAGATAGATAGATAGATAGATAGATAGATGTGTGGATAGATAGATAGATAGATAGATAGATAGATAGATAGATAGATAGATAGATAGATAGATAGATGTGTGGATAGATAGATAGATAGATAGATAGATAGATAGATAGATAGATAGATAGATAGATAGATGTGTGGATAGATAGATAGATAGATAGATAGATAGATAGATAGATAGATAGATAGATAGATAGATAGATAGATAGATAGATAGATAGATAGATAGATAGATGTGTGGATAGATAGATAGATAGATAGATAGATAGATAGATAGATAGATAGATAGATAGATAGATAGATAGATAGATAGATAGATAGATAGATAGATGTGTGGATAGATAGATAGATAGATAGATAGATAGATAGATAGATAGATAGATAGATAGATAGATAGATAGATAGATAGATAGATAGATGTGTGGATAGATAGATAGATAGATAGATAGATAGATAGATAGATAGATAGATAGATAGATAGATAGATAGATAGATAGATAGATAGATAGATAGATAGATAGATAGATAGATAGATAGGTGAATATTTGAAGGTTTGTATGCCATTAAACAAATTACTGAACACTATAAACTCCTCAGTATTATTAAATCCAATCAATTTAGGATATAACTGGTTTTTCAAATGCTTATTATGTCCTAAGATTAGTATTTTATATTATTTATGTTTAACTTTTATCTAAGTATAAAATTCATTGATAACTAGTTGGCTCTGAAGTTGGCCACGGTAAAGGGAGCGGCCAAACAAATTTCTTTTGGATGCAATGCTCTGGTTTTTGATTCGAATACCAGTTGCTTCAGCCGTCTGCAGGATTCTTAGTTTGGCGGAATTAAGCAGACTACTGTTAACACGACATATGATTGGGAAAGATTGCTTTATGCCGCTTTTTTTATATCTAACAATTCAACTGCTGCTGTAAAGTACGCTACATTGTTAGATGTTCTAGCAATTTATATATTCCGGTTCATCAGCATCTCCCAGTATGGTTAAACAAAGGTGTAGTTAAAAAGGTTAAAACAGCTCCATTTTAGTCCATTTAATTCAGACGAGATATACAGCCAACATGAAGCAATTTTTCGTAATGATATATCGTGTTAACATCAGTCTATTTAATTCCGTCAAATTGAGAATCCTGAAGACGGCTAAAGCAATTGCTATTTGGATCAAAAGCCTGAAATTTGCATCCAAAAAAATATGTTCAGCCGCATTTTTTACCCTGGCCGAATTCAGAGCCAACTACTTAATAATCAGTTTTATAATACGGTGAAGTATTTTGATTAATTTCCATTTTTATATACGCTTGATATTGTTTTACTTGGATCTTCCCATTGATGTTTAGGACTGCAATTGATCAGTCTCTTATTAGCATGTGTGCATCCAGTGAGGATTGCCTCGATATTGCCTGAAGTCACAAGCATTACAGACAAAGATGGATTATGGCTAGTATTGGGATACAAAATGCATGTTTCGTCTTGTTTGGAACTCGTCAGCTGGATGTTCCTGTATATAAACTTCATCCCCTCGCACAAACAAGTGGCTATCGAAACTTATTAGCTAAGTAGATAACATGATAACGTTTAAAGGGAACTGTAATGGGTTCGAGTGCCAGAGTGAACATCAACTCCAAGATGCAAGTACACCCAGCTGACAAGTCCCAAATATGATGAAGTGGTTCATGTCCTAGATTTTACCACTAGACACTATCCATCTTTGCTTATAATTCATGTTTATATCCTAAACTTATCTTAACCTAATTATATTAATCATGAGTAATAGATTATTTTCAGATCAATTTTACTTTCAAGGATATTTCAAGTTGATTATAATTTGGAAGTACTGGAAAACTGTTAAGTTTTAATATTTACATTGATGACAATACACAAGATTAAATTCAAGAGAATAAGTACTAACTAAGAACTCATTAATTATGGATGATGAAATGAATATCAATAATCTCTCAGTTGATAGTGACGGAAATCAATGGATAATTGACTGATCAACAAACTTACTATACATCAGTCAATCAGTGATGTAATCATTTTGATTTCAATTGGTTGGTTACCATTGTAAACAAGGAGGTACTGAATATCTTTTCTATCCTATTCTGAAGCTCCTCAGCTGTGCCCATCGAGCCCAGAACATGTAGATCATACAGCAATCTTTAGAGAGTTAAGTTGATACACATTTTTGTGTATGTTTATCTGTGATCAATTTGCGATATTGCATAACAGCTTTTCCTTGCCCAAGGTAGATAACTGTCTAAAACCCAACATGGCTGAGCTCTATTAGTTACAATTTCACACTTAAACTCTCGGAACTGCATTTGGAAGTTGGTGTCAAATGAGTACAAGATTGTTATTAGTGAAGGAGATTTAATTGACAAACTTTCCTAGTTTAAATTGCTTGAAGTTAGCCGGACGATAACTCAGTTACTTAGAGGTTATGAGTAATCGCGAAACCAAATTTCCTAGGTTCGATCCTCTGTGATAGGGTCATGGATGAGGACTATAGTGAAATCCCATACTAAGAAGTAATATCTATTCAGTAGTTCCTGGTTTCTAGTGGTGGTCTAATCAAGATCAGTCTATAATTTGAAATAATAAAATTTATTGATTCAGATCATGAACCGATTGGTGCGAGACTACCACTGAAAACCTGGAAGCACTGGACGGCCGTTTCGCTCTATTGTGGGACTCCTCCATAGCAGTCCACATCCATGATCCCGCATCGAGTGAGTCAGACTCAGAGCCTTCGGTTACGAGCACGAACGCTTAACACATTATAATATTTAACGTAGATGAATGAAAACATGTTCAAATCTAATTTCATTCGTTCATAATAACTTATTAAATGTATGATAAATGAATTTACTTTGGAATGAATTCGTTTAGTTGTTGATTTGGATCCTTCTAGACGATATTCTTCAACAAAACGAATTTTTGGTAGAAGCTATTCATAAAAGAATATCAAATATACATCAACTCATCATTAAATAATTTGAAAAAAAAATTAGGAAAACTTAAATTAAACATAACTGGAGGTTGGAGTCTCGAAGTGAACATCAACTTTGTGATGAAGATACATTCAGCTGACAAGTCTCAAAGTGGAACGAGACACACATCCTAGATTCCACTACTAGTCATCATGCATCTGTACGTATTAAAAACATGACGAAAATATTGAATTTCAACATTCTCAGAGAACATATTGTCATCAATATTTTTCTCCAAGTTCTTTTTCAAGTTAATCTGTAATGTAAATCGTTTTAGTTTTTGTCAAGTTGGTTTTTAAAGAAGAGGCGATGGAAGTGAATAGGACACACATTGAGAAAAGCACCCAACTGCACCACAAGGCAAGCCATCCTTTGGTATTCTCAACGCTAAAGGATGAGAGGAAGATCAAAGAATACATTGTGCTGAGAAATGTAGACCGACATGAGAAGAATGATCAATAATTGGATAGAACTAGAAAGGAAGGCCCAGATGAGAGTGGGTTGTAGAATGTTGGTCCACGGTTTATGCTCCTCTATTGGAGTAACAGGCGTAAGTAAGTAAGTAATTAAGTAGTTTTTGAATCTTATATAGTTAGTATATTGATGAATTTTAAATGATCAAAACTTAAGTCTGAAGTCTCATAACGATCGATATCAGACAGGGCAACCTTCAATAAATATATATATACTACTGTTAATATAACTAGTAGTATCCATTGTTAGCCGATAAGTTCAATGTTTAGCTATCAGTATGGTTTAATGAATAATTACAGTAAATTATACAATTGATTTTAACATGCTAGAATATTTATAAATGGAAGATAATAGGAAGATGGTGAATTAATGATAAATAATAGATAAGTAATAAATATATTTATAACTCCGCCTGTAGCTCCTCTGGAGCTACTGCCGGTTCCATACCCGGATGAAGGAGATGGATTGGGCATAGAGTTAGCGACCCTATCCCATAGAAAACTAACTCGCTTAAAAAACGCTAACCATATATATTTAGAATGTGGTGTATGTTACTTATGTTGATAGATGTAAGTAGTATGTAGTAGCAATCGAAAGTGAAATACCTTTTAGTAAATGATTAAGAAGATTGAAGTGAAGAGAGAATACGAAGAAAAGAATAGAGTAATTGTAAGAACAATGAAATTGAAATAATCATGAGTTATGTAAAGGATAAATGAAGGAAGATATGCATATAGTGTATTCAATGTATGGTTTTCATATTTTAGGAAAACACTCTGTAGTTTTACATTAAACAGTAAATTGATTATTCCTATGAACTCTTCTTACACTATAATACCACATGTATATTCTCATCGTAGATGTTAACGACTGAATCTAATCTTTACTGATGTATTGATATTCTAATTTCAACGTGAATGCTAATATTTAGAAGCTAGTATATCCAGACATCCTATCTTATACACAAGAACAAATGCAGATGAAAACAACTAGTGTAGTAGAAGCTTCTGCATCCGTAAGCCTCAACATACAAAGGAAAAAGAATGATCATCAAATACAACGGAGAGAACACCAACCCAATCACACTTAATGGAGAAGCTCTGGAAGATGTGGAATCTTCCAAGTACTTAGGAAGAGTCATCGATGAACAAGGAAGATCAAATGCAGACGTAAAGGCGAGGATTGAAAAAGCAAAAGTCGCATTCTCACAAATGAAGAACATACGGAACTAAAAACAACTGTCAACTAATACCAAAGTCGGAATCTTCAACGTCAAGACAGTTGTCATGTACGGAGCTGAAACTTTGTGAACTACTACAAGTATTTATAAATAGTTATCTTCGTAAGATACACAACATCCATTGCTCGGATACCATCAACAATAGCCTTTTGGGAGAGAACAAACTAACTTCCAAATGAAAAGGAAGTTAGGAAAAGACGATGGAAATGGATTGGATATACATTACGAAAACTAACAAACTGTATTACGAGGCAAGCCCTAACTTGGAATCATAAAAGAAAACTGAAAAAAAGGAAAGCTGAAGAACACGGCGTCCGGAATCGGGAGCAGACATGAAAAGGATGAATAGCAACTGGAAAAGATTGCCCAGGACAGAGTTGGATAGGGAATGCTGGTGAACGGTCTATACTCCTCGACGAGGTGTAACAGGCGTAAGTACGTAAGTAAGTAAGTAGATAGGTAGATAGGCAGGTAAGTAAGTAAATAAGTAAGTATATCCAGATATCACATTTCAAAAGAGATAAAACGTACATCTTAAACTCTAATACAAACTATATACATAAAAATGGATTAAATTACCTCTAATACAACAGGTTCTTTAGATTTTCTATCATTCATTAATCCATTTGATTCTATTTCATGTAATAATTGATTATCATTATATGGATTTAATTTCATAGCAACTAATTGGGGATATTCTGATATAGTTCTTTCATCTTGTAAAAATTTGCCTTTTTTACCACTTTCTGGTGGTAAATATAAACCATAATTAATAAAATCTAATTCTTTTAAATTGTATGTTTCAATTGCTTGTTTTCTTAATTCACCAATTAATATATCTGTACGAACTTTGAATATGTACTGAAATAGTAAAAAAAAAAATATTGATGTTACTATGCAAATGAAATAGTTTTATAGGTAATAAGATACTGATATTGATCTTATGCTTAATCGGTATCAACTAATTGAAATTGATCGATCAAATGATGAGACTATAATGTTTGGATGACCATAGAGCGACACTCAAGTGACATTGAGAGTGTCCACCTAATAACTAGGACCAAATGAGGGTTATAAATCAGTGTGAGGAAATAGAAGGGTTAGGAATTAGATTTAAGGGTTTTCATTATGAACTAACATCAACCATAATGCTAAAATTCTATTTACCGAAATAGCCGAATGAATTTCATGTCAAAATCCTAGACTTCTTATCTTATACTTGATTGGTTCGTCCATAAATTATAGTCTGGCCGATCAAAATTTACCACTAGATTATTCTACGATATGATATGAATTGCTTCACCTAGTTTTGAAGTATTGTGGTGTGATCTACTTATATTCACATAAGTAGTATATAATGATAGTCAGGAATAAAATGTATTTCAGTAGAAGATCGACAAAAAAGAACGGAAACGGAAAGCAATTGATATGAAAATGTACAAACAATTAAATCCGACACGATTGACTGACATTTGCATAAGAAACAGTCAAGTTGGAGACAAATCATTGACATTCTACACATTAAGTATTCACTGTATGGTTCTCAGATTTTAGTGATATGTTCTGTAATTTCGTGTTCAAATACATTCGATTGTCCTCACCTGCGTTTTTTTTCACTACAGTACCTTCTTCTCTGAAGTATGCATACAATCAGCCAGAACAATTGTCACCGTCTTTTCACCTATATATATTTGTGTCTTTTGGTTATAAGATACTTAGTTACCAGTATTGATCGATTCCATCGTATCCATTCTATCTTCATACATGTATATATGGCCTAGATCTTTTTGAGTAGATAAAAATATATTGATTTTTTTAAAAACCTCATTATTTTGCCTACATGGATTTGAATTACTCTAAGTCGTTATGTGTTTGTAAGTAACTTCACTTTACTACACTCAGAATTTAGAATTACTGAGCATTTCTGAGCATATTCCGAAGAACTTGACGCTGCGAGGGACTAAAGCTTTTAACAGTGCAATAGCTCGGCATCTGCTTGACACCGGGCATACCGTCGATATTCTGCACGCGTTTAAAATTATCAATAGACAAAGAACTACTACCACTCTCCGCTTTGCTGAAGCCATTGCAATTAAGAAACTGAAACCTGATTTATGCTTTCAAAAAGAGACTTTAATAAACTTATCTCTACCCTGGTAATCCTTTTGTTTCTGTTTGTTTTGCGTTTTGGTTATTTTACTCATTTACTTATTCTAAGATAATTTACACTCCCCCCCTATTACCTAATTCTTAAAATAAATTTTATTCACACATTTCCATCACCTGATCCTCTTAAATCATCTTAACTTTCCAAACCCTATTTAATTATTATTACGTAATCTACCTTATCATTATTTAATTCCATTAATCTCTACAATTATCACACAATTTATGAACTTCACTAAATTATTACACCACCCACCCTGGATTAACCCCCTCTTTTGACCCCTGACCTGTTTCTAGCATATATATATATAGTTATTATTGTAATCAAGTTATTTACACTCATTTATGTCAATTGTTTTCACACTATCTCCATGTAAAAAAAATCTATCACAATTTTGGTTTGTAAGCAGCTGACGAGAAACCTCGAAATAATATGAATTCATACTATTCTGCATCAATGTTTGTTCTTGCTCTATTCAAATAAACTGTTACTGAAATCCAAGGTGAGTAAATGATAAACATAGAAGTAATCTGCCATTTGCATTACGAATTTACTTTAGTCAATCAATCACTAAAAACCACAAAAAACTTTAATATTATTTTATCCTGTTATGAAACTTTTCAACACATATACTCTATCTAATCGAGGAACTTGAGACATAGCAATCAGTGTAAAATAATTAGTATATCATCCAGTTTCATCCGTAAACACAAACTACATCTGGAACGTTTAACTAATCACCACGTCTATAAAGAATGATACAATTACTTAGCATGTTAAATATCAACTGTACATTCTATTTAAAAATGAATCAATCATTTGAAACATTATTTTAATTGAAATATATTGCTTACTTATAAGTAGGTTAACAATTTAACTTAAATTTTCCGTGAGCCACCATAATATCAGAAATATTTATGAACTAAATTTTATACATGAACTTAAAGATAGCTATCTGTATTTATTCCTAGGGTCACTTTATTAATGATTGATTGAACTGTGGCTCAATTCGATTATCTACTTTTAACTAACTAACTGACTAACAAATCGATTAATTAATTACTTATTGAGTTCAATAATTCAATAAATTAAAATCATAATTCATAATATTAAATAATGTAAAGAATTAAGTCTGTGTATTGAAATTATGCCATTCTATTATCTAATTATTGCTTCTAGTGATAAATCATTTGCCACGACCTCTAGTTGGATAGTGGTTGGTTACTGTTAAGAAGTTTAATATGAGTGATAATACACTTGTTTCATGATCCACGGCTTTTAATGATACCTCCTTCCCCCCCCCACTGAGATCAGTTTTTGATGAATGAAACCTCTGTTGAAAAAATAATTTACTCCGTCAAGTTACATGTAATCTTCTCAACCAAACTTGTACTTATACAACAAATGAAGGGTAGGTTACCGATGATGGGTTCTTCCATGTGTGCTTACGAATTTAATTATTCCTGTGGAGCTAGTTATGTAGGCCGTACTCAGAGGGTTTTATCTTTACTTGCATATGAAAATGTACCAGCATGATCGGATAAAGAAGTCACGAAATCTATCAACAGCGTCATCATTTAACATTTGATATGTAGGGAACATCTTAATAAAATAGATGAAACTTGCTCTGTTTTGTAGGAAGTTTTAAATGATCCACATAGAGGAACTAGATTACGACTTTTCTACATAACTGGAGTCATCTGAGTCAACTTCAGAAGACCGAGCTTAAGTAACTGAAAGAAGTATATCCAGTCTCTATGGCGCACAACTGGATCATCAAACATCAAAACCAGATATTACAAACCTCTTATCCTTCACCCAATTTCTTTTGTGTTTATATTGTTCCTGATCTACATATTAATCTTTCTCAATTCACATAACTTATTGTTACCTCCATTAACATGATGGAATTCGTCAACTGTGCATTTTGTTTACATGATTTATTGTTTTACTGGTACACTGATTACAGCTTGACACTTTATTACCAATCATTCTGATTTTGTTAAATGACCTTCCTTTAAAAAGTTTGAACCAGATTATCAAGCAATTTACTTCAAATTCATTCTCTGAGATTTTACAAATACATTCTTCCGCTTTAATATTTCACATCAAGTCGATGCCTAATTACTGTGAAACAAATGAATCAAATTTAAACGAAAGTTCTTAAACAAGCTTTCTTGTTTACAAATAACAACATTTTGGCATCAGATGTAATTCCTGGTGTTCTAGCGAGAAGCCGTGATCAGTGGGATTCAAACATGTCTCTTACGAAACAGTGACTCGCTGAAGACAACGGTGAACAGTGGTGAGATTTCGTGTATTGATTAAATTTAAACATTATCACCGTTAGATTTCAACTATATGGTCTGGAGGTTAACCATTCGCACGTGAAACTGATAGGTCTTGGATTCGAATCCCGAGAGCGGAATCGTGTATGTGCACTGTTGAAAAGTTCCATAATACGATGAAACAGATATACAACTGAATTTATTCATCACGTTATTAATTGTCTCATCCAAGTTTACAAGATAGTATTACAGATTTTAAAAATGAAATCATTGAAAAAGAAACATTTTTATTCGGTTTGTTTAGATATCTCAATCCATTATAAAACGAACAAATTCTAATTTAAAAATGAACAAAAACCATTTCACTGAATTAGATATGCTCGATTCTATGCAAGAGGTTGTGGATTAAACACTACTAAAAAGTTTTATGATAAGAATGAAACACCTATCTGTTATTTCTGTTTTTAATAGTTAAATTCATTAGTCAATGAAAGCTAGACTACCATGAAAAATCTAGATGTATTGAACGACTTTTTCGTTCTAGTATAAGACACGTCATTAGTACGCATCCACGATCTCACCTCATGAGATATGTTGAACCTAGGACCTATCAGTCTCACATGTGTGAACACTTAACCTCTAGACCATTAAGATGAGCGACATTCAACGATGTGAATGTCTAACTTCAATCAATTCACAAAATTGCATCACCACTGAATTTCAGTAACATTTTACACATAGATTAATCTGTGATAAATGTAACCTGTATTACAATTAGATTAGAATCTATGCTGTAATGAATAGATTCATTTATTATCTAATCATTGACATTTTTTAAAAAAAGTCAATTATTTACGAACACATGATAATATGTACATGTTAAAATAATGGAATTAATAGAGGAATTACATAAAATGATAATAACCATGTATTTTAGATAATTATGACAGTTCATAGTAAGTTAATGGGTCCATTATTATTATTATTATTATTAGCATTACTAGTAGTAGTAGTAGTAGTAGTAGTAGTGGTAGTGGTAGTAGTAGTAGTAGTAGTAGTAGTAGTAGTAGTAGTAGTAGTGTAGTAGTAGTAGTAGTAGTAGTAGTAGTAGTAGTAGTAGTAGTAGTAGTAGTAGTAGTAGTAGTAATAGTAATAGTAATAGTAGTAGTAGAAGTAGTAGTAGGTTTTTTGTTGTTGGTGGTGTTTAAATAATTAAAAGTCATTTAGGTTATTTAGTGTAAATAAGTGATTCAATGTATTAATTTTACTTTTTCAGATTTATTCTTTCAGTGAGGCCTTGTAATTCATATAAATAGTTTGTAATGAAATGACTATCAATAACTGGCCAAGTACGCTGCATGGCAGTTTGTTCTGTTCTACTTTACGGATGCAAAACATGACCATTA